TAAATGTAAGATTCTATTTTTTTCCCCCAAAGCCATACCCCCCTTATTGACATGTAAGTGATGCAGAGTTAAAAGCTGAGGACAAACTTTAGTTATCGAAAATCAGAACTGAAATGTGTGCTGGAAGCTGCAGCAGGATTGTTCCGACAAGGACGTCTGGCCGCTGAGGCCACAGGCTAAGTGGGGTCAGAGGCAAACAGACAGCGCTCTGATTATGTCTGGGAGAGTAGGGTGACATTGCTGGTAACACAAGGTTAAGGTTTGTGGTGTTACGAGAGTCTACAGCCATGCTAGCAGCTCTGTAAGTCTGTAGGCGCAGTGGTGTTTGAAATAAATACTAACAATGACGTGTTAACATGCTGATGTTTAAGCATTTGTGTTTGCCATGTTAACCATCTTAGTTTAGTGTGTTGCTTTTTAAACATTTTTATTCTGTCGGCTTTATCCTTGTTTGAACAAAATTACTTATTAGACATCTGTCACAGGACTAGCTTACGGCCCGAGCAGTCACTAAGCTCACTCACTGAAGATGCAACTCATGAGCTACAGAGATGCTACAGAGTTGGAAACATAGTCCAGTAGCAAGCAGGTATCGGGTGAAGTAAACCATTAACTTACAGCGTGGCTGTTACAGCCTGACACTTCTCAATATCTGCTGATAGGCTCATGCAGCTCCCTACACCACCACCTCATGTGTTACTGTTGATGTAAGACTTAATGTGCATGGACTGTGTGTGTTTGTTCAAGGAAGATTAGTTTTTACATTAATACTCTTTGAACCAAAATCTAACTGTGTAATTATCTACTTAATAAATGGTTTATACCTTGACACAACAGTATTTGACTTAAATGATAGTCATAATAAAACTTATCATCTGAGAGATCAAGCTGCAGGGACAAACCAAGAACACCCGGGTTCATCTTGCCATCCTGCTACACAACACTATCCGGAATAGGTCTAGGTGTTGCTTCTGTTCCAAGGAGCAGGAAGTGCCTTGCAGGATCTTAGTGCAATTCCCCCCTCTCTTTAAATAGCTGACAATTTCCACCACTCTCTGCTTCCTAGTCAGCTGCCCAATTACAGATTACAGATTTGCTTGCAGTCAAGAGGGGGAAGTGGATCTCTAGAAGGGAGAAAGATTGAAGGGGAGAGGCGAGAGATGGGAGGGAGAGAGTAATGGATAGGGAGGGCTGAGAAAATAAAAATTCTCAAGCCATCAGTAGTTTGAGCATAAACTCATATATACCATGGCTTGCTGAATGACAGCAGGGAGAGATGAGAAATGGCATATGGTAATTTAGGCTTATGCGCCTGAGATATCCCATGAGGGCCTTATAATAATGCTGAGGCATTGTGACACTCAGGTGGCCCGTGTTCATCACTGCCATAATGAAGAGAATATGCTAATAGCTGACTCATCTGCTGGAGGAAAAATTAAACAAAGAAACACCTTCACTGCAGACTGTTTCTGGAGGAAATGGACAGGACAGGAGACAAAGTGAGGACAAGAGACGCTGAGTTGGAGGGAGGAGATGCTGCCTAACATTAGCAATGAGTTGTTCCATGGGAAATCTCAAATATTAGACACAGTTAACGTACAGCTAATTCCTCTGTCACCTTCATTTTGCATTTTGAAAGGTCTCTTTAGAGTTTTTTTTTATTTAAAAAACACAGTGCAAATCTGCATTTACAAATCCGGACTCAAAGCCAGAAAAATATGAGGTGATCAGAGATAAGATGGTGTATAATATGCGTTTCTAATTGAAACTGCTTTGTGTGAAAGTGCTCAGTACAGCCAGGAGCCCAGAGATGATAACCCAAATGCTCGGATCAATAGACTGAATAAATGCTTAGGATGGCACAAATGTGAGCGCTCAAGTGAAAGACTTACAGGACAGAAAGAACTTCTGATGCCCCGTCCGCACTCTCAAACTCCAGGAGATAAAGTAGAGAAAACCTGGGGTCAAAACATCGAGGGAATCTGCTGTGAACAGCAAGCACAAGCTTTACACAGTAATCCCACAGTGCATGTTTTTCTTTTTCCCTCTATTCTTTTTCTTGAAATGCATATGCACCTCACTAGGACCCACACAACAAATGATTTCTATGTTTTGCTTAATGAGCAATATGTGCAAGCAAGTAGCATAGACGTAAAGATAGAAGTGATATGGATCATAATAATATGACTGAGAGGGTAAAAGTGAGATTGTGCACATTTCTAGCATGTTTCATTGCTATAGCAACAGCCTTTGTACTTGCCGAGGGATGTGGGTGGCAGGAAAAAAAGAGCAAGAGTGAGAGTGAGAGGAGTGATGGAGAGAGAGAGAGAGAGAAGAGAGAGGGAGAAAGAGACACTTTGGCTTACTCCTCTTTCTTGGCGAGGTTCTACCAATCCAGCTCTCTGCCAACTCAAGACCCTGGGGCTTTAAACAGTCAAGGTCACTGAAGAAGAAAAATGAACAACTCCTAAACGTGTTTCTGCATACTCCACAACCTAAAGAGGTGACAAGAAGCAGTTCTGGCTCACACAGACAGAGGGAGCCACCTTTTTACTCACAGCATGTGCATGATTGTCCTCCACAAGACCCTCTACATACCAGCAGAAGGATCATGGTGGCTGTGAAATACCCTTGAAGGGTCACGGATAAAGCAAGGGCGGATTTAATCCTTATTGTGCTTAATTTGAATGGAAACATCTGCTAACAATTTCAATTTGATGAAATGAAAAACACCGCCTTATATCTATTTTTTCTGTATTTGAAAAAGCCAGACACAAAGCAGCCCTGAACATGACTCCTATTTTGTATGCAAAAGCTCACAATCTCAATAACATCCCATTCTGAGCTAGACTTTTATGCCAGCAGTACCGCTGTTATGGTGGGAATTACAATAACCTCAATATAGCTCAGCACATAACTGCAGTGAGGCGTAGTAGTTCATATTAAATTACAATTTGGTTGTATCCAACATTCACACATACATTAGCATAGATCTGTAAAGGACAACCTTGAGTCACAAAATCAGTGTGTGTGTGTTTAGAGAGGGAGCCCTTAGGAGCTCCCGTGGTAGCAGAGTGAATATCAAATTAGATAAGGTTATTAAAGCTCCCCTTCTCTCACAGACGTTTGCAGTTATTCTTCTACATACAAGCCCTCCCACATACTCACACACACATGCAGCTACTATCATCACATGTCCTTTAAAAGACTTGTGAGTCTGCTCTTAAGGCGTTGGTGCCTTGTGTAAAACCGACTGGTTTCGGCTGCTGAAATCAGTGATGGGTCCTTCTTTTAGGATATGTGAAATGTCTCTCTAACACATGAAACATGATGAAATACACGTGAGTGTGCCAAAGAGCATTCACACACACACACACATTCTTAACAGAGGAATCAAGCAGATTGAGGGAAAGTTAGAGAGCAGAGAAGCGTGAGAAGCATATACAAAAATTCACAAATTAGACACAAGCAAGGTTGTATTTCCATATTGTAAGAGATAAGTGTTTGAGTATTTCCAAAAATGTTCTCCGTCTGTACCCTCTGACACTACAGTGTGGGTCATATTAGGTTTATGAGCCAATTCAGTGATAAAAACCCCCCAGCTCATTACTACATAAGTCAGCCTGGATGATGACGCTTCAGTGCTTCAGCACAGGTGCCTAAAGTGACAGAAGGCGTCCTCACGCTGTGGTGTCACATGGTGCTGTTGCTTTAAAATTTAAAAGTGATTAATTACATTTGATCACAATACACATTTAGTGACAGTTACACAGCTCACATGTTTTCTGATCCACGTTGCATGCGGCAGTCTGCTATAGAATACATTTAAAAAGAGCTTAATGGACTTTTTTTTTTATACATCAGCTAAAATATGACGCAGTTATAAATAAAAACTGACTCACAGACTCAACCTTGACATTTAAATTCTGCTCACTTTTTAATGCATTAGTAATATTATTTCAGTATTATGTGAAAGGGGTCATTCTGCATAATGTGTGCTTCTGTTTTTGACACATGATAATATTTCCACACTAGTTTATAAGTAGAACTTAAGATTGCTAGACTTGTAATGGAGTATTTTTGTACTGTAGTATTAGTTATTTTACTGAAGATCTCAATATTTCTTCCCCCACTGGCTACAGCATACAGTGATATTTAAGACAATAGTGAGTTTTCAGCTTTGTCACCTGTTTCGATGAAGGCCCTTTCTGGTTACAATGTGACAATGAATCTGTGCACGAAACTGTGGCTATGTGATTTAGATTTAAATTATTCTAGCTAAGTCAATACCTAAATATTTAACAATACCAGCCTTCAACTAAAATGCCTTAACATGGTGGTAGTTTAGTGTGACTCTGAAGCGGCGTCCATCACCTGAGATGAAGCCTTTTCCACGTATTTATCTTAACATACATAATAATCACTGTCAGCGTGTCATGATCTTGACTTTACCACTGCATGCAAAATTGGTTAAAGCGGTCACACACTCTCTGCCGTCACACATGTAAGCTTAAAACATGATAAGGCGCTGACTAAGATAACTTAGTACGGTAAAGGAGGAGGGCTAAATGACAACGAAGCTGTGTGAGGCCTGTTGGGGTTTGATTAAGTGGATATGTAGTCAGTGTCTTCCGCCCGGGGAAATCAACCGAGGGCAGAGAGCATGGAAAAACCAAGGGAGGAGGAGTCGTGGCCAACAAGCAGAAAATCCTCTCATTAAGAAAATCTGATGATGAAATTAGAACATCTAGATCAGTCACACACACACACAATTTTTTTCTCCATTAACAGATTATCAAGTGAATTTCCATTATTGGGAATATTCCATTTAGATGGACACAGATCATCGACACCTTATCATTTGATTTTAGTTGTCAAACAGACTGTCTGCTAATGAGAGGATCACAATTTTAAAGGCTATATGTTTTGTGCTGTCCAGTGTATGCTAAGCTGCTTTATTAATAGCTTATTAATAGCTAGAATGAGGTAATACACCAAACTTGTTTTTACTTAAACATTTTGTTTATTAAAAATTCTTATTAAAATGTTCCATAATACTACAGACACAAAATGGTTTGTACCACACAAAAACAAAAGGCTTCCATCTTCAAAACGCAGTATAAAAATACCTTTAAAAATAGCACCTTTTCTCTGGCAGGTAAACATGCAGTCATGATCAGAAACACAGCTTTCCCCAAAACAATAAAAAAAAAAACATTATGTACAAATTATTGTCAGAATATTGTGCTTGATTCTTCATATTTAATACAAATGATAAGACTATATCCATAACAATCACCCAATATAGTTGTGCTTGCATAGTTATGTAGAAAAGTGATAGTTATTTCAGGCATCTGGGGTTCTGGAAGTTCATTTTCTGCATAGACAGCATCAGATGACTTGCAGTTAGATCACTTTCAAGGCTTGGATGGGGATGGTAATTAATTCACTTCAACCATGTTGAAAAAACTCTGCTTCTATGATAAAAAGTCAAAGTATAAGAACATGTACATGCAAACCGAAGAGCACAGCGGTAAAAACTAAGCAACCAGTCACAGATATTAAAAATCTGTTGTGTGCTTTGTTAAGTGCTGAAGCTAGTTGTGTAATTCCTTTAAGTTTCTTTTTCTGTTTTTGATATAGATTTATATACTTCCTGTACTGTTTGTCATTGTTATTAAGTTAAAAATGGGGGTAAAGATCATAGACTGTTTAAAACACAAAGGTTATACTTTGTAGAAACCTATTAATACATTCAGCAATTTACATTGACTCCCTTTAAGTCAATGACTACTGAGGCTTCTAGTAATGGTCCATTCAGGTGCTCCTTGTATGTTTCCATTTCCCAGAGTTGGGAAGTCGTTCTTCCGACGGAAGTAACAACATGGACACTACAAAGAAAATGTAGTTCCAACTCAAAGTGTTTAAACACGTTGATTTTCTTACCATCAACTCAACATTTACTTTCTTCTACCATGTTTCTGCGTAATATGACGTCAACTTGGCATGTCGTGTGCCTATATTCTCACAGACTTTCCAACTTGTTCCAACTTTAGGTGGCGTTCATGTGAATTTTCCCAGTTTGTAACTTTTTCCAATTGGAATAATTTCCAATTATTCTGACACCAGATGAATGCGGGGTACAAACAACAGTGTTTAGAGCTCTTTGCTAACCAAACTGACTGAAAAGACACAATTTCTCAGAAACAAAGCTAAAATACTAACCTTAAATATTGTGTTTCTGTGTTGAGTAACATACAGTCAGATTCTCACCTTTGGATTAACTCAAAGGGGTAGAAAATTGCAGTAAGAGTTTTTTTCATTTTCAAAATATTTAATGTGAACGATTTAACCACCACTTCCACACAGAAAAGGCATTTCTTTCAGTTTTCCTGTTCCAATAATTAGTGGAGTCATTGGCTCCATTTAAACACAAAATTACTGAACAACCGTACAGTCCCAAAAATGTCTGTGTAAAAAGCAAAGACACTCTTCTTCAGTGTGCAAATGTTAAACGTGTTCGTTTTACTACTGCAAGAAGTATTTTGTAACCTAATAAACACTATTTTGTCTTTTTTCTGCCTGATTTTAAGAACATAAAGCAAGGAGGCACTCTGGTTTACCTTTTTAACCTGGGGCAAAGTTTGGTTGGGTTTACAGAAACAATAAATAAAATAAATCTTGACCTTTGACATTTGACAAAATAGTAATCTATAAAAGCAATCTAAAGGCTAACGCTCCTGTGGCTGATGAGGCCACAATCATCGTGCCGTCTTCAAGGGACGAGGACCTGCACAACAGATAGGTCGTTAGTCCGCATACATTCAATACCTAACATAAAGTGTGTGTGTGTGTTTGTGTACCTTCTTCCTCCCCAAGGCAGACCTCCTCGCACTCCTCCAGGTGAAGGAAGCGGTTGTCATTTCCTTCACACCCGCTGTAGATGAACGGCCTACAGGCCTGAACCTGACTGTTAAAGTACCAGCGCAGAGTGTATCGTCCACAGCTCCCCTCCTCCATGGGCAGCAGGCACAGGTCTGCTGGAGCTGCAGAACACACACACACACACACAAAGATGGTGCACCCATAGACACAAAGAGACGCACACAGTGAGAAAAGGGCAGGCCAGGCGAAAAGGAGCAGAGCAGCCATAACGAGCAACAAGGGGACCCGAAACAAGCATTCATGACCACATAGATCAAAACTCAAACTGTTCATTTTAATTATTTACTTTTTGTTAGATGCAAAGTAACTCATTAGCACTGACATATTATTTGTTTTGTATTACATTTTACAGGATGCATATACTGTATGCCAACCTGAGACATGCAGAGAGGGCCAGACACCAGACAGGCACGATGAATTAACCCTTAATACATCCCAAAATAGGACAACAGCACATGAGCTGGTTTACCTTCCCCTTTGACTCTCCTCTTGGACCTGACTGATTTGGGCGTGACTGCTTTCAGAGGTGTAACTTTGACTGCTTTCTGAACAGCAACTGTTGCTTTTTTCTTAACGTCTGCACTGGCTGATTTGTTTAGTTCGACTTTGACTGTTTTGTCAGTTTCAGCTTTGACAGCCTCACCTGTCAACACACACACACACACACACACACACACACACACACACACACACAACATAGACACATTCAAGATAAATAGAAAATACACATTAATGTAAAAACAATGGTTTAAAGATTTACACTATAAATACTCTGTACTATATACACTACATGAAAGGTCACAGACTCAGGATAGTGTGTGCAAGGTCAACGCAGTTTCCCAATGTCATGAAATGAAAGTGGAGTGCGTACATAATATGAGACACGCTCCTCCAGCACAAATTGGATTATGTGCCGATTGAATAACCAAATTATGTGACATGATCACAAATTCAAAACGCCATCTTCTGTTTATTACCTGATACATTTGTAGCATGTAAATTAATTTGGTTAATGTTGGGGACATTGTTAAGTGACCTTTTGGAGAAATATATATATATATATATATATATATATATATATCTCCAAAAGGGGTCTCTCTCTCTCTCTCTCTCTCTCTCTCTCTCTCATAACCACCTTCATAAGAGAGATCTTGAAAACCCGGACTTAATGGCATAATTTCATTATACATAGACATTCAAATAAATGGGAATAACAGTTAGTTTGACACGTTTTGTTAGGATAGTGGTTTGGTCGTTATGTGCAGTTTAAAAAGGTACCCTGCAGAGTTTTTGACCACTTGTATTGATATGGAGCGATGTTTTCAGCGTCTCCTGTGAGCTCACAAGGCGATAAACAGTCCCGCCAATGTCCAAGGACAGTTAAATCAAGGGCAACTGGACTTGACTGAAGATACTTGAAGACATTTCGCCTCTCATCCAACTGAAGAAGCATCTTGGATGAGAGGCGAAATGTCTTCAAGTATTGTCAATCAAGCCCAGTAGGCCTTGATTTAACCCTCATTAACTATGACCTGGATGACTGAGAATCTTCACAAACAGTCCTGCTGATGGTTTTACACTATTCTGCTGATCTACAGTTGGTTGTGGTAACATGCTATGAAATGTAGCAATGTGAAGAAGCAAATATGGATGTAAAGATCTCAGATTCTACTACAAATCTTCTTTGCAAATGTTTTTGAAAGAAATATATTCAACACATTTATAAGGCATTAAGGCTTCTACCGGCCACAGCTGCAACCGCTGCAGGCGACGTCTCTAGTCTAGTCCAGTTAGTATATCTAGTCTATTTTTGACGAAAGCCGCGTCAAGCTGCACAGGTCAGATCTAGCTGGGCAGAAAGTGAGACACAAACACAGCATAGAGAATCTGGTCAATTTCCAAAATAAAAACCCCTGTGCAGACTCCGGATCATATATCAACAGATAAAAAAAGAAAACATTTAACTATGTAGCTTACTTAACCATGGTAGAAGCACAAAACTCAAGGACAAATTACCAAATCAGCAAAATCTGAGCAAGTCAACAAAGTCAGGCATGCTAAATGATCCACTTCTGAAAGCTCCCTGTGGGCTATGAAGCCCCACAGCCAGAATACGATGCAGCCGTGGCCCTGTGGAATACAGTTGTTAATTTTGTTTGATGGTTGAATAGCTTTGGAACGCCCCTCCCTTGACAGATTGTTGGTCATTTTGTCTAGCTCCAGCTCTCTTTTCTTCATTTGTTCCACAACTACTTCTGTCACTTTTCACGTGAACAACCAAAGGCAACAATTTGAATGCCTCCCATGAGAAAAAACATGCACCATTATCTCCATATTTAAACAATTATCACGTCTCACCCATCTTTTTGATGGTCATACTTTAACTCAGCCTTCCAAATCTGCTCGTTTTGGTCAGGAACACAGAATGTAAACATGATTTTGTTTGAGATGTTATCAAAAACACCACAGGGTACCTTATGTCTTTTATTTTGGGAAAAAAAACAATTTATTTTGCTTGCAAGCAGGCAACACATAGAAATTTCTGTGTGTGACTGGGCTGGTTTAGGTGGTACTCAAGTGTGCTATTTCACTGCATGACAGAATTGGACACAATATGAAACACAGTACCATCACTCTGGTTGGCAGGGGGAGGTAAGTAGAGCAGCTCGTCCAAGGGATCGTCATAGGCTTCGATGGAATAGACGTGCTCATAATCTGGGTCATTGGTGTTCACCACCACACGCAGCTCACGGCCTGAGAGAAGAGCAACGCCATACAGGTCAGAGAACTTTCACCCCCAAATCCTCCAAACTTCAGATAGAGGGAAGGCTCTCAACAACATAAACGCAACACAAGAAGCCTCTAAATAAATTCAGAACAGTCAGTTCAGTAGAGCCTATACCCTAACGTGTAGTTGTCTGGACATGCTCAGAGATATAGACTATGTTATGTGGGACACAAACACAAACGGAGTCCTCTGTTTTCTTGATGAGAAAACCACCCAGTGTTCAGAGGTCTCCAGACATAGCACCACCAAGCTAAACCTGTTTGTTAGGAGGCAAACACGCAGACAGAAAAACAGTTCAAGGCTGACAGACAGAGCTATGGATGGACACACTCACCATCCTCACCCTTCACGGCCAGTTGTTGCTCTGCTGCATGCCGAGCCCTGAACTCGGGCTGGGGCCGACTTACTGGGCCTGAACCTGAGAGAGCCAGATAGGACAAGGGGGAGGGAACAGGGACACCGAGGGAGCAGAGACAGGATTCATTGATGCGAGAGGGACCACGTAAGTGTTACACAGGCGGGAAAAACGGGGGCCACAAAGGCAACATGGTGAAAAAAAGGAAGAACAGAACATTGTGGTAGTAAAACACTGAGACACATGAGCAGACAACAAACCCAAAGCACCACAAAAATCATTCCACCGTTCCAACATATACACCAGCTAAAAGACTTTACCAAGTATTTGTGAGACTGGTCAACGTGAGGGCAATCTTCCAAAAACTGGTTTTAATCCTTTAAGGACTAAAGCCGCTGCTATGTGGACTTGTGTCACACTCGAGTTAAACAGTTTTTTGAGTCCAAGTCAAATAAGTGCTTTCAATCTGCTGAAGACTGCAGACTCAAACCAATACTGACGTGTACATTATGAAACACATAACTATTTATTAGGTAATAATAAATACATAAACATGAGTAAAATGTTTGTTTTGGCCTCATTCTCAGTAACGCTGCATATTTATTAACAGCCTGCCTCTCCATGACTTATCTCATGCTGCTGAAACTGCTGCTTCACAACACTGATGAAGTCTTGCATTGATTAACAGTGCGGACAACTTCCACACTCATTCAAACTTTGGGAAAGTTTAGTTTTGAGGTTTTTCACTCATTTTCTTTTCATTACTTTTAAATATTTAATGATATCCCTTTTCACTGTGAATACACCTAGATTAAATGTATTGAATGGAGAAGGTATATTGTTTAGTCCGGCATACAATATAATAAAAGGCCATTGCCTTCGTCAGCGCATTGTGTTATGGGCAAAGAAGTTTATCATTGAGATCAATGAAATATCAAAACTATGTCTAAAGGCACTTGAGGCTGAAAAGTTAAAGCAAATAAGGAACATCGCAAAACATCTTCGCACAGTTTAAGATATTTCAGGCCAATCTTAAGATTATTTTAAGATTTATCACAAGAACTACCTGGATAATGAGTGTACTTCACACCACCTTGTTACTTTGTTCAAACAAATGCAGCGAAACAGATAAAATATTTTTTATGTGCGTGAGGTTAAGTGATCATGCATTTCACTCATTTACACAAAGACTGCTCTCACTACAGACTCTGCAGCAGCATATGTGCAACAGTACACCCCTGTGACTCATGCTAAATCACAGCCCTTCTGTCCACCTTCCTATGTTCTGCTACAGCTGAGTGGCTCACTCACCTCCACACGCTGAGGATCAGACAGATGGACAGGAAGGAAGCAGAAACAGAGGGAATAATAAAAGGTCAGTTTATCAGTCATTAATCTACAGCTTCTTTTGTATCATACTTTCATAGAGTTTAGCTGAGGCTGTGACTCATATGCTGTGATTACCATTCGAAGTTCAACTTGGGGACAATTCTGGTCTAAATTTGCAATGCAAGCTGCGTAGAAGACTCACCACAGTGCTGACTCATCTCTGTGCGAACATACTCTCTGACCTCATCCTCCTGAATTCAAAATAAAGAGGGGAACAGAGCAAAACACACTTACAAAACACCACCCTAAAAATCAACTCTGTGTCAGATGTGAGCATCTTCAGATTGAGCCCCGTGGTAAGGCTTAAGCACTGACCGTCATGCCCGCCTCTCCTCTGTCTCCCTTGGCTCCATCTGGGCCCATCTCTCCCTGCAACATGGACAGGTATTACACTCACGACACACAGAGAGGCTTGCAGCACATTAATTCATTAGGCTGAGACCAGGTGCAGCACATGAACTGAACGCAAAGTCAAAGAACGGTTGTATCAACAAGAGTGACTTATTTGAACCAAACATTCAAAAAAGCTTTATTAATATGTGGTTGTCATTTTTAATAACTAGTTTTCAGGGCCATGCAAATTTAAATGTCAGGGCGATGAAATCGGTGTCCAAGGAGCTCACAAGAACAAGAGAATTTAGTGCACTTGAGTAATTCTTAAGTTCAACAAGTAATTCAGTGCTGCGTGATGAACAACCAGGAGACAAGTGTGACACTAACTGGCTCTCCTCGCTCCCCCGGGATCCCTGGGATACCACGTGGACCCACTGTGGCAGGACCATTTGGACCTCTCTCCCCCTGAAACACAAGCACACACCATTACGACGAACAACATGTCGTATTCTGTATTCTGCACATGCGGTATGCTGTAAAGTTCACCACTTCTTTTTTATTCTTATATCAAACTCCTCATACATCTTATATATGATGTCATGATAGGTTTGCATTTTTTGTCTTTATCATTTATTGCTTTTCCATCCTATTAATAGATACGCCTTCCTTTCAGGCTGCACCACAGCAAAATATTTGTTTAGGAAAATCACTCGAGTAGGTTGAATCAAGAGAGTGTCTCAGTTTGAAAAAAAAGGGGGGGGGGGCATCCATCAGAGAGACTCAACATGGCTCTGCTCTCCTGTCACCGGCTTTCTTCATTTACTTGATGATGTAGCTGACGAGCCAGTCAAACGCAGGGCCCATCAAACTGTCAATCATCATGAAGCAATACACAGCAATCAAACAAAACTACCAGTCAGGTGAAGAAGAAAGAGGGGAACAAACAAACAAAAAAAGGCGCAACACAAAAAGACTGTATTCTTTTTATATCCATCTTACATCATAACGTCATCATTAATCATTAACGTCAAAACTGTCAAAAACAAAAGTTGTACCTCTATTGCTACTACACCACTCACATACCTCTGTTTCTTGCTTCCATTATACTGTATTTTTCTTTGCTAGATCACCATCAAATCTGTGAGCAGCCATAATAGAGGGAGTACCCATTTGCTAGTGAAACAAACTGTTGAAACGTCTTCATATCCTCTCTGATCTTGTCTTTAATAGACCTCTGACCCCACAGATAAAACATGTGACCAATGTGTAGAATTAGCCTTCATCAAGCCAAAGTAAGCGTAGTCACCTTCTGTCCCTGGAGCCCCTCTGGGCCTTTAGGACCCACTGGTCCCTGAAGGCCAGTCAGGCCCGGGGTCCCATCCACTCCTCTGGGGCCAGGAGGACCAGGGACCCCAGGCGGACCCTACATGAAGCACAGAGACAGTTAGTAATGTATCTCAAGGTTTTCTGTAGTTGTGAGGATGAGTGATGTTACGCTGCTAATAGTACAGACTTAAAGAGGTGGTATTATGCTCATTTTCAGGCTCAAAATTCTATTTAGGGGTTGTACCAGAACAGGTTTACATGGTTTAATTTTCAAAAAACACCATATTTTTTATCATACGGCACATTGCTGCAGCTCCTCTTTTTACCCTGTGTGTTGAAGGCTTCGTTTTAGCTGCAGAGTGATACATCTTGTCTCTAAATGATCTTTGTTGGGATTGTTATATGACGTGCATTTGGCTTTCATCCCTGTGACGTCACAAGGGAAAGGGTTGGACTACAAACGAGCTGTTTTCAGGCAGCTCAGAGCAGAGTTTTCTGTGGGAGATGGGAACTCCCTTTGGGCTTTTTCACTTTGCAAACCTGTTACATGCACAAAAAAGATATTTAACTCAATAAAGGAGAGGGAAAGCCAAAAAGCATAATACCACCTCTTTAATACAGAGATTATGTGCAGCATGTAGCCTCATTACAATTATAAGTAGGCTACTTCTATATGTATATATTTTTTATATAAATATACTGTATATGTGCACACTATACTGCAGAAGTGGAAATTACAAACTCACCCTTTCACCTTTCTCTCCCTGAGCACCTTTGGATCCTGCAAGCCCATCAAAACCACGGTCACCCTACACAGACAAAGAAAAGTGGTTACACTTTACATTTGGACAGTTTCTGTACAAGTAAACGTTACACAGCACACACCTTGGGGCCGACTAGTCCCTCTTTTCCGGGGGTCCCTGGCGCCCCAGAAGGTCCGAGTTCCCCCTGGAAAACACAGAGCATGCCTTTAGACGGCCGATCTTAAGAAGCACACAGAGGCATAGAATACACAAGTTGATGCCTGATTTTCTACCACAGATGTTAGTCATACCTGTTCACCTTTTCTTCCTGGTAGGCCTGATCGTCCATGAATACCAGCATCCCCCTGAACATAAACACTCATTTACTTTGAAGCACATACCACATGACTCATCAGTGTCTGACTCATTGTACTTATTTTGGTTCAACATATAATCACAACAAAGGACTACAGTATACAGTATTTATTATTTTATTCTCCAGTAAGCAGTGAAATGTTAACATGCTTCCGTTTATTTGTTCTAAATTTGTAACAGAATGAAAACCCCACAGTGTGAGAAGGGGTATGATATCACCACCATACAATTTCTTCATTCATGCTCATTTCTTTCTTTCCTCCTACCAAACGACATTTTTCTGTCTGTCTCAATCCCACCTTCTCTCCTTTGGGTCCATCGCTTCCACAAGCCCCCTTGGGTCCTCGGTCACCCTGGAAACACATAAGTTCATCATTGACAGGGGCACATGAAGAGGCTCGTGAGTTACAAATGGATAAAATGCACCAAACCAGCCAGACAGAGAGCCCATCCATAGACGGTCCTCTCAAGATGAATCACTGTGCATGAGCACTTACTGTACACACACAGTGAACATGAACCATCTTCTTTAGCAACTTCCAGACAGCAAAGGATATGACGCAAAACTGGATACTATAATTTTCCTGGTTCACAAGTTTTCCGCAAGTGTTCAGACAATAATCAGAGGATGGAATGGCTTGTTACTTTCTTTTTCTTTCTTGTATGACAGGCACATACAACAAGGAAGGTCAAACCATTGTTTGTTTTTTCTTAATTGACTCTGGGCTGGCCCAATCACATCTTTAAACCAGTCTTCAAGTTAATGCTGCCAAATGTGCAAATTCTCAGCCAAGTGAGCCGGAAGGCACTGGCAGCAGAGAGGAGCCCAGTGAGCCCAGCGATACCAGTTCAACTGTCAAACTTTTTCAGCTGAAGCAGTAAAACAGAAGACAATGGTGATAAGATAGGCAAGGTCTGGATTTGTCTGGCTGCATATTTAGCTAGATCAGGTACCTTTTGTTAAAACATGTTCAACTTTTCATGTGTATATCTTTCTATCTATCTACATCAAACTTTTGAAATGCTGAACTCCTTGTTATGCATGAATGGTTATGGTTATTGACAAGTCAGTACTTAGCATTAACAAACGAGAGACTTGCCACCAATGTAGACCGCATTTCTTGCACAAGGATTTAACGAAGAAATAAAACCTACAAAAATGCTGCTTTATTCTCCAATTGGAATGATTATTATATCTACTAAACACTATATGGACAGAAGTACCAGGACACCCCTGTCCCAATACTTTTTACAGGAGCTGTTTTTTCATGGTCTGGTCTTTCTTAAGGAATATCTTGATGCTACAACAGACAATTGTAGACAACAGTTCTTCAGACAAATGTTTGTGTTTGGCCTTTTCTTCTTTCAATATGACAATGCCACTGTGCACTAAAGCCAGCTCCATAAAGAAATGGTTTTCCCAGTTTGGTGTGGAACAATTTGACTGGCCTGAACAGAGCCCTGACCTCAACCCTATCCAACACCTCAGGGATGAACTAGAACGGAGATTGCGAGCCAGGCCCTCATGTCCAACATCAGTGTCGGACCTCACAAATGCTCTTCTGAATGAACGGGCAAAAATCTTGTAGAAGAGTGGAAGCTGTTATAGCTGCAAAGGGAGGACCAACTCCATATTAATGCCAATAGATTTAGAATGGGATGTTATAAAAAGTAATGTGTAGGTGTCCCAGTACCTTTGTCTATATATATGGTGGCAAATAGTATACTAAATATTATTTATATTAAATTATATGAATATACTAACATTAGATATATGAATATACCAACATTATATAATTAATATATTTATACAAAATGAACAACAAAAATACAATTAACACTAGCACTAACATTATTGTTGTAAATATTTATTGTTGGTATTCAAGCACACAGTGATCTTGGATGGATGTACAGGAAGTTTTCAACCCAGTTTTTCCTTTGACGTTAAAAGGTGGCTACTAATTCATAAAAATGCATTACAGCGTGAGCATTATCTGAAAACCATCCATGCATAAAATGTACTAGTGGTAACAACTGGCACAGAAACTAAAGTTACAAAATGGTTTCTAACGTTGGACGGGAAAACCAGGAGATAAATAGTGTACACACAGTCATTCTTGTTTATAAAGTCATTATCTCACACCTCTAATTAAATTTAAAACTAAACTTGAACTCAGGGTGGGCTAACTCATGACTTACCGTTTAAAAGTTCAGTAAGTGGGTGGTGATGGCGTAATGGATAAGACACATGCCTTTGGTGTGAGAGACTCGGGTTCAATCCCCCACTGTGACCCATCCACCATTGTGTCCCTGAGCAAGACTTAATTGCTCCAGAGGTGTGCTCTCTAACATATACAGTAATTGTAAGTTGCTTTGGATAAAAGTGTCAGCTAAATGAATAAATGTAAGACAGTTAGATGAGAGGATCAATAACACACAAGTCTGTATGGTAAATATGAAGCTACTGCTAGTTGACATTAATATTATACGTTTGAACAAATAAAAAAGTGAGTTTAATTCAAAGCTGGCTGAAGCGACACATTTACCAAAACAGACAGTGATATTGATCGAAAAGCGAATACAGTTTAACGTCTGAACCTTTTTAGAGATGTCTGTGATTGCAGGTATATGCTTGTGTGTGTCCTGCTGTGTTTAGGTCTCTCTTGTAAAATAGATCTTTATCTCAATGAGATTACCTGATTAAATAAAGGTTATAATCATAATTTTAAACCAAAATTAGCTTGCCTCCACACCTCTGAATAGTCGCCCACAGCTTTGATTGCTTTAGTGATTCAAATGTAATTCAAATGAATGAATGAAAAAAAGGAAATTAATTCTATCAGGCTGAGCACATTTTTTCAGGTATTAAATCATCATAATCTTGTGGGTGGAAGCAAACATTCTGCATTGATATTTCTGACACAATTTGTATTAATCCTCTGAAATTATATCAATTTTATGCTATTATGGATTTGTGACTGCATCACTGACACCTGAAAGATGCCTCAAGGTTGAAACCACACAGAATGAGCAAAAAACATCTCATGTACACACACAGACAAGTACACACACTGAAAATACCTTGATTCCTCTCATTCCTAGGGTACCGATCTCTCCCTTCTCCCCTTTACGCCCTAGCAGCCCATCTTTTCCTGGTAAACCCTGGAAGAAATAAGAGAAACCATCCCTTGTTCTGTCAACTAAAAGAGAAAACACAATAACAAAGAAAATGAAAAATATGCATTTGGATGGAAGCTAAATCACAGACCGATTCACCAGGAACTCCAGGTTGTCCGGCTTCTCCCTGCAGAGAGACGACAGAAATACATGATGACCGGTGTTTACTACTGACTTTGGGTTTGCCATTCATTTTGAGTTAGTGTAACTTGCCTTCTGTCCACCGGGGCCACGGGCACCCGGGAATCCAGTGGATCCTCTTTCTCCCGGCTCTCCCCTCAGACCCTGATGTCAAATACACACAAGTATACATATTGATATTTTGTAATATCAATGCAGCGACATCTTATCACGCGTTAGAATAACTCCACTATCAGCATATTATTTAAATGTCATCTTTTCCTGGTTGTGTTGCAATTAAAACCAATTAATCAGCCTAATGACTAATGACAATAGATCATCAACGCCTAATTTAGATTAAATACTGTTAAAAGGCACAGGCTCTAGTGCTGAAAGAATCCATCACCTTGTTACTTATGGAAATTCAGGTGAGCATATTTCACTATTTTCTGACAAAAGAGTAAGTCGATTCCTCAGAGAAATAATCAACAAGTAATTCAAAAATCAAACTGATCCTTAGTAGCAGCCATAAAACTATCTGTTCTGGCAAAAATAAACAAACTTACCTGCTCCCCTGTGGGGCCCTCTTGTCCCTTTGCCCCTTTTTCTCCTTGCACACCTTTGGGTCCTCGGTCACCCTAAAATAGCAAAATTCACAACAAGCAAAACCAAATACACACTTCAAGAACAGAAGTGGACATTTTACTATATGAAACATTTTGTCCCATCCAGGTGTTCACTAACTGTTTCTCCTTTATTGCCCTTTTCTCCAGGAGGTCCTCCCACCAGCACAGTGTCCCCCTGTGAGTGACAGTACAGCTGTAAACATCTGGCTTCACCCCGAAGTCAAAACATCAGCAAGATGTGTCATTCGGTTTCATTTTCTTAAACTGTGTCACTTATAATGTCACAGCTTATCATCATTGTGTGTATTCATATATTCCTCTCAACTGAGTAAATCTCATGACAGAGCTCTTTCAAAACAGCCGCTGTTGACACAAATATGTCTTGACACAAATATGTCTTATTTTCCCTCTTTCTCCATTTCTGTGTCACTGTCATTTACAAATATGAATAAATACACAGGCAAGACAGACAGAGAGTGAGGGAAAGAGAGAGCGCAGTGGAGCTTATTAGATATTAAAATACACACACCTTCTCTCCTTTGTCACCTTGCAGCCCCGAGTCTCCCTGAAAAAAAAAAAGATTGAGAGAAAAACATTTCATTCAGGCGTGTCAATTTAATTCACCACTTTACATGAGCAGAATGCTGGGGGGATTAAGCATGCATAGTGACACATAAAAATGGGAAAAGGGCCAGTAGTATTCACCTTCTCTCCCCGAGCACCACGAATCCCAGGCGGACCCTGATGAACACACAAACAGACAAACACCATGCCCCATTATATATAGCTCCATACTGAAAAATCACCATGCATGTTTCCAAGCCTAGCCATGTTTTTCCTTTGTCAGACGACAAAACTGAAATGACTGATTAGACTTCTTGCTTGATGGTACATGATGAACACATAGCAACACTGAGAGGGAGGACAAGGCCTATTGAATAATTATGTATGAATGTAAAAAAGACATTGTTGACTTTTTTACTTCATGCCTCCATATAGACTGCCCGTCAATACGCACTTTGAAAAACACAACCCTGAAAGCTTTAGTGGAAAGGCTGTCTTGGTGTACTTCATGTTCCTGAGGGATGGATAAAAAAGGAAACACTTTACAGTACACACACACAAAAAAATAAATCTCCCCCTCTCACCCCTTGCGTGGTGGTATGTGTCATCCTCAAGCTCGGGTCCTCTACCAGAGGCCTGGGAGTTTGAGGGTTCTGCCAGTATCTTAGCTGTTCCTAGGATTACACCCTTCTGGACAGAGACCTCTGATGTTTTACCTGGTATCTGCTGTAGCCACTATCCCAGTTTGGGGGTTACAGCCCCTAGTGCTCCGATTACCACTGGCACCACTGTTGCTCTTACTTTCCACATGTTTTCTAGCTCCTCTTTCAGCCCTTGGTATTTCTCAAGCTTCTCGTGTTCCTTCTTCTTGATGTTGCTGTCGCTTGGGATTGCCACATCTATCACTGCAGCCTTCTTCTGCTGTTTGTCGATCAACACAATGTCTGGTTTGTTAGCTATTACCAGTTTGTCAGTCTGGATCTTGAAGTCCCACAGGATCTTAGCTCTGTCATTCTCAACTACCTTAGGCGTCTTCCATTTTGACCTTGGGACTTCCAGCCCATACTCATGGCAGATGTTCCTGTACACTATGCCAGCTACCTAGTTATTCCTGCCTGCATCTTACACCCTGCTGTTATCTGCTGCACAGTCTGCACCTGGGGTCCTGCCTGGTGTGGTAGACCCCCGCCTCTACTGATCTTGTACTGAGTGCCTGTTCTTGTACTGCCATGATTACTGCTTCTGTGCTGTCCTTTAGTCCAGCCTTTTCCAGCCACTGGATCCACTGGTAGGATTTCCTGATATCAGTCACTTCTTCTATTTGTCTGTGGTACATGCCGTGCAGCAGCTTGTTCCTCCATGAAGGTTCTTTATCTTCTGTTCTTTATCTTCTTTGTCCTAACCCTCGGGTTTCTGCTGCCTGAGGTATTCACTAAGCCCTTCATCTTTAGGGGCCATCTTCTTGAGGTACTCTTGGATCTTTGTCGTTTCATCCTGGAGAGTGGTCTTGACACTCACTAGCCCTCGGCCTCCCTCGCTATCCTTGTCTTTATGTCAGTAGCCTCCATCTCCTCCTTTGGCCAGTTTATTATACCAGCGGGGGTGTCTGATGACTGGCGTTGATGGCTTGGATCTTGTTTTTCCCCATTCAGCTGACTTTTCAGGACCTGCCTTACTCTCTGTAGGTATTTGGCTGTGGTGGACTTCCTGGCTTCTGCTTCTCCCTTGTATCTCTCTAGGCGGGTGGCCAGAGCGGTAAGTCTTTGTTTGGCAGTTTCCAGAGCCTCAGGTATCGACAGATTGTTGTATTTCTTAGGTAGCCCCTTCTTTGCACCTTTCTGCAGTTCTGAGAGCTGACTAACCTCTCTTTGTGTTGCCTTGATCTTGGCCTCTAGACTTCTCCTCCATGGGGGTAATGCTCTTTGTGGCTTGTGGTGTTCATCTTATAGCCAAGCATCTCTAGGATCACTGTTGCTTTGGCGTACATCAGCTCATTGGTTTCGGTTATGTTGAGTGATTCTGTGCTGTAAGGGCTTGTTGTTATCGGATTGTGGGGATGATGATGAGGATGTTAGAACACTGAGCTAGGAGTTGTTTCTTTGTCAGTCTTGATGATGGGTTTTGAAGCATCCATATATCCCCCAGTTTGTGCATATAACCCCTTTCACCGGGTTTACTTGTATTGTAGCATTGCATCAGATCCATATTTTCTGGTCTAGTCCATGTTCCAGTAGCCCATTTGTCATCAGGTTGCCCTGGTTACCTAGCACCTGACGCGGACCTTGTTGACCCGGGCGACGTCCGAGCCCGTATGGCTTTGACTCTGTCACGTCTGTCACATGAGCTCAGTGTGAACGTGCTTTCATCTGTGAAGAGCACTGGGCGCCAGTGGCGAATTTGCCAATCTTGGTGTTCTGTGGCAAATGCCAAACGTCCTGCATGGTGTTGGGCTGTAAGCACAACCCCCACCTGTGGACGTCGGGCCCTCATACCACCCTAATGGAGTCTGTTTCTGACCGTTTGAGCAGACACATGCACATTTGTGGCCTGCTGGAGGTCATTTTGCAGGGCTCTGGAAGTGCTCCTCCTGCTCCTCCTTGCACAAAGGCGGAGGTAGCGGTGCTGGGTTGATGCCCTCCTACGGCCTCCTCCACGTCTCCTGATGTACTGGCCTGTCTCCTGGTAGCGCCTCCATGCTCTGGACACTACGCTGACAGACACAGCAAACCTTCTTGCCACAGCTCGCATTGATGTGCCATCCTGGATGAGCTGCACTACCTGAGCCACTTGTGTGGGTTGTAGACTCCGTCTCATGCTACCACTAGAGTGAAAGCACCGCCAGCATTCAAAATGACCAAAACATCAGCCAGGAAGCATAGGAACTGAGAAGTGGTCTGTGGTCACCACCTGCAGAACCACTCCTTTATTGGGGGTGTCTTGCTAATTGCCTATAATTTCCACCTGTTGTGTATTCCATTTGCACAACAGCATGTGAAATTGATTGTCAATCAGTGTTGCTTCCTAAGTGGACAGTTTGATTTCACAGGAGTGTGATTGACTTGGAGTTACATTGTGTTGTTTAAGTGTTCCCTTTATTTTTTTGAGCAGTATATATATATTTTTTTTTACCGTTGGTCCTCTCTCCCCATCCAAGCCAGCACGACCCTCTTCTCCCTAAGACAGGACAGAAAAAAAGCACACAATACACTGATGTTAGTTTCTATCATACAAACTCATATTAGATCACATCTTTAGTGATGGAACCCATGTCTTACTCTGGGCCCCGAATCTCCTCTCTCTCCTCTGGGACCAGGGACTCCAACGCCAACTTCCCCCTGGCAACAGATATTATATGTACAGCCTTCAAAATTTCCTTTAATATTTTAGCAGGTAGGCAGAAATATGTGTCTGCTTAGATTCCCACCTTGTCCCCTTTGACCCCGTTGGTACCAGGAGTGCCCTAGAAAACAAAGTATTGATCATATAAATCTCTCTGACCTATCACTTTTTAAAAACTTGATTTTGGAAACCACACTGAAAATAGCCTAATACTAATCACAATGTAACAAAAACAGGCTCCAAACTTACTGCCTGTCCAAGAGGTCCAGGAGGACCTGGGGGTCCAACATTTCCTGCACGGCCTGCAAAGCCTTGAAGACCCTGAAAATGAGACCTTAATAGTTGAAAATCATACCACAAATGTGAAGACTGAAAGCATACATTACGCAACAATCAGCTGCTCCACCAACCCTCTCCCCCTGTGGTCCAGGAGGTCCTGGTTGTCCAGGTTCTCCTCTCAGGCCAGGCAGCCCAGCGTCACCTGGCTTTCCCTGTAGCCCTGGAGGACCAGCTGGACCAGGAAGGCCTTGATCTCCCTGAATATAGGTCACAGTTAGATTTTGATCTGCGGCACATCTGATAAAACACACCAACTGATACTCACCTTTAAACCTTGAGGCCCTACCCGACCAGCAGGACCTGCCTGTCCTATGCCCTTCTCTCCCTGCAACACACATTTTGTCATAACTGTCACATGGACTGGGTTTGATTTCAGGTAAATTAATAAAACACATGACAGTAGCTCACCTTATCTCCTTTGGGCCCAGCAGGTCCCTGTGCCCCCTGCATGAAAAACACATGTGAAAATAAGAATTACTGATACAGTATTGAAAAGATAACAGAAAAAAATATGAATTTTTTAATATTGTTTTTTAATGGATATTAATAATAATAATACCAATGTGCAGTTGCAGTCTAAATAGTAATTTCTTGCATGTCCCCCATATATCCATTTGACATTCATTATTATGCTGAAGAAACGTTTGGTTGTCCTTATAGTTAACATGCCTAGCTAACCTCAAGGACGACAAATAATCAAAACCTCAAGCATCAGAGGAGAGTTGACACTTTCAGATAGAAGGTCTGGAGACTTTAATCACACTGTGATAGTAAAATGGTTGATTTATGTAATATTAAATAATTGGACTGGCTTTGGAAAGAAAGATCTTGAAAAAATAATCCGAGTTTAAAATGTGTGGCTAAAAAAAAAAAAAGGCACAAAACCCCAGAATACACTGCATCATCATATATCTCCTGCATTTTAGTGTGATTTCTGGATAACAGAAAGGTCATGCCACTAAAACATACTGGCATAAACAAGCAGACACATGTTAAATATCAATGCTGCACATGCACACAGCTGGATGTTTGCTGGATTTGAGTAGTATTGTAATGGTAGCATTATTACACTGTTGTCAGTTAACAATGTGAAGATAGTTGTACACAAAATCACATTCAGTAATACAACACGTGAGGCTCAACACCACAGAATAAATGCAGAAAACAAGCAGTAGGAGCTGATTACTTACATCTTCTCCAGGCTCTCCTGATTCACCAGCCACTCCCTAGTATGACAACAGATAACAGGTTGTCAACATGTTACGTTAACAGTAAATTGTTTTTGCCTGCGCAATACCCATGCTGTCTGATCAGCATCTTGATACGTCACACCTGTGACGTGGATGGATTTTCTCGGCATAGGAGAAGTGCTCACTAACACAGATTTTGACAGATTTGTGAACAATATTTGAGAGAAATAGGCCTTTGTGTACATAGAGAAAGTCTTAGATCTTTGAGTTCAGCTCATGATGAATGGGGGCAAAAACAAGTGTTGCGTTTATAATTTTGTTCACTGTATATGTGTTGCTCTGCAGCATGATGGTACTCACTCTCTCTCCTTTGATGCCAGCAGCACCTTTGTCTCCCTTGTTGCCCTGAAAGACAGCAGTTATCATACAGTTTGAATGACTGAATGAAAAAGCACGCAACATTTTCCCAGTCTTGTGTCCCTGGTTGAGAGCGAGCCTTCGGTGCAAGTGTTTCGGTCAGACTCACCCTTTCTCCAGGTACGCCTCTTTCTCCAGCTGTGCCTGGCAGTGTTTGACCAGGAGGGCCCTGCATTAGTCATAAGAGAAGTTGTCAGCTGCAGTGTGTGTGTGTGTGCGCGCGCATGCATATATATAGTTATTTCTACTGATGCCAATAGCAGTGACTCACTGTCTCTCCTTTGGGTCCAGGGGGTCCAGCCACAGCCTGTTAGAGGTCAGAAAATGGAGAATATAATAGTAATTACCTGTGCAGCATACTATGAGTTCTTGCTGATGAAAAGCCACAAATGTGCGCTTAAAAGCATATCAGCCCAACTCCTCCTGCTTAACCACTGGAACCATGGAAAGTGTTTTCTGCTCTGTAGCAGGCAAAGGTCTTACAACAACATGCTTCAGACACAAAAGGCTTGTGTTAATAATATGACTATTCAATTGTACTAGACAATATTAAAAGAAACACTAGGCCTTGATTGTTAATCCCACATTTCTCTGTCTTGGCAGAATAACACGTTCGAAAAAAGTTGTCTGGGTCAAGAATGAGTAAATGAAGCAAAGTGGAGGACCTAGTTCATATACTCAGAAAGAACAGAACCAAACAATTCCTTGCAGATATATTTTAGAAAGCTTTAAATGTGTCTGTTATGAAAGTCCATCGATGCTGTGGAGAAGGAAAATGCAGTGTGTGTGTGTGTGTGTGTGTGTGTGTGTGCGCAAATGGTAGGGCTGCTGAGCAGATGGACCAGCGTTGTCTGGTTATTTATCAAACTAGTGAACTTACTGACAGTGTCACCACCGCTCTGTCCAAGGTGCTTAACCTAAGGCTGTCAGCAGTGACAGAGCTGTCACGTTTCATGTCAACATCACATACAGCAGGCAGCAATGGCAGCGAATATCGAGCATGTGACAAGCAAGCCCCATCTTTGTGTCTTTTTCTCAGATACTTTTTACCAGCAGAGAGAAAGTACAAAACTGGAAACCAGAAGCTCCAGCCAATAATGAGTTTATTTTTTATTTCATAAAATAGGACAGGGTGTCTGGTGGCATCGCAGTCATGACGCATACCCTATGCTGTGATCACAACATCACACCCCTCTATCTAATAATTAAGTTACAATATGATAGGAGCTTAGGAAATATATTCCCCGAGAGATCATTTAAAAGCTTTTAAATCCACACTTTGTGCAACCTGCTGTAAAGAGCTACTCTAGCATGTGAGAGGAGAACAGCTAGATAACATGTTTTTCATTGTGAATGACCAACACCTTTCCATGGTTGAATAAACATGTGCATTGGATGCTTAATTAAACAGCTCAAGCTTTTCTACATACTGCCAAACGGACATTTCATCTGTGAAACAGCTCTCCAACATCTGTACAAGTGTATACAAGTACAAAGTGAGTCACTGAATTCCTAGAAAAATGCTTAGAAAACACTGCTGTTTAGAGTTAACAGTTCGTAAATGTATGTGCTACTATTGTCATTAAGACATTTGGCAGCAAACCTGATGTTCTGCATTACAAAAAGCTGTGCTCCAGGCTAAAATGTTTGACTGCTCATGGCTCAGATGAGGGGGAATCTGTTGCACAAGCTAAAGCAGTACAGTGCATTTCATTTTAAAATAAAAGGTGAGGTGCACACATAGGTTAATAATAGTTTACAAGTTACTTATAGTTTAGTTACAATTTAATAATTGTTTATACAATAAATTTGTTCTAGTTGGTGTTAGTATCTGCAGCGTAATGATACTGATATTGGAAATAAAAACACAAGTCATTTAGACTCTGTGATGATGTGACAAGCCCTGCAGAGAGAAAGTTATGCATGCATGTGACCTTCTCTGTCATCTAGCTTAACTGAGATCCTCATCGGCATAATTGGCACAGACTTTGTCAAGCAGAGCCAATCCCTATTAACAGATGTCTGCAGTCATTCAAATACAGACAACTGGCAGGCATTAGCAGTCAGTGTCAGTGGTAAGGTAGCTTCCATTTGAAGGCCAAGCAGCGCTGACAAATTATCTGGAGTTCAGGAAAAGTGTCTTTTGCACCCAATATTTTGATGCTTGTATATTGTAAGGAGAAATTCAATTTGTAGAGGTCTTGAACTGAACACTGAACATCTAGTTCATTCTGCTTTGCCTCTTTTGTGCTGGTTGTGAGACTTCTCAAGACAATATCTTGAACTAGCATAGCAGAATATATCATTCAAGAGTGTTCTCCAGCCTCTCTTTCTTGTTAAACGGATCAAGTCCCAAATGAGATTCTTACCAGCCAGGAATAGTACAATATATATGCAACAACATATATATGAAGAGATACAAGATAATCCAGACCCCTTACAGACTGACAGGCTGGTGGAGTGCTGTAATAGAACACTAGAGACAATCCATATCCATACATTTATGCAAGGATTTAGTTAAAATTCACAAGCCTCCACAGCTCCACAGAGTTTTCCCCCATATATCTACAATCAATGTAAAAAGAGCTGAACTGCACCAGAGAGGCCTGTGATGGTAGTGTGAACACAAGAAAGAGAGACTAGATAGGTTTCAGACATGTGAAAACTAATTTGACTGGATCAGCAAGTGCCAGAGAATTTGCTCTATGAATGTCAATCAATAACAGTCGTATAACAGAGAAATCTCACTGAGACAGCTTGCACCGAGAGTAGACGTTCTCAAATTACTGCCCAATACCAGCACAAAAAACTCACGAACTGACCAGGGATGTTTACTATAATATTACAGGAGGTAGCTCACTGACAGACACCATTTCATTTTATTTTATTTGGTTTGAAGATTTAAAGAGCATTTTCATATACACCTATTCTCACCTTCCAGTCCAGATAGTGTTTTCACCAGGAAATTCATAAACCGCATCTAAACATTTCCCCAGGTTAGAGGTAAGTGGTCGAACCAGAGGGCCGCACATTGGGAAGCAAAACCTTGCTCAGGAGATTTGTTTGTTTGTGTAACTCTATCATCGCATCGTGTTTGACATTGCAATGTAGAACACAATTTCCGAATTCAATGACCATTAAACACCTCATACGACTTCGCTTTGCCCATGGTATATTGACTTTACTGGATTTAACCACAGGCTACTGACAGATCCCCTCATCAACAGAGTCAGACAGAACATCCTGTTGTTTTCACTTTGGGAAGTCATGGTGTTCCTTTTCTCTCAGCCTCAAGGTTCACATTGCTGCAGCCGAATCAGAGATATCAGAGTTGAAATAATAGGAGTTTATAGAGACAGTTAGCAGAGGCATATAAGCAACTAACAGTGTGACTCCCAGCTAACTTTAAGAAAGGTAACACTAGGGCTGGGCGATATATCGGTGAAATTAGACAATACCTTTTATACCGATATAGTGTGATGTTGAGTAAATTGGCGGTCTACCCAGGTTACAGTAGGCGACAGTGAACACACCAGTCAGATGTTATTCGTTAGCTACCACGTTGGTTTTGTTTTGATAGGCTACATCGTCAACACGCCTCCTCAACATGCAGCTCAGCTGCTGCTGTAAAGGGAATTACCGGAGGAAAAGTACAAAAGTTTTTTTTCGGTCACTTTATACAGTCTAGCCTACTACTGATGAAGAAAGTCACCGAAGCGAACATACAGGGAGAGAGAAACGCTAAAGCCCCTTTTCCACTGCATGGTACCAGCTCGACTCGCCTTGACTTGTTGCCATGGCGACCAGCTACATTGAGGGGTGCCATCTCCGGGTACACTGTGCAATGGCAAACGGAGCACGGCCAAACTGAGTAGAGTCGAGGCGAGGCGAGTTGAGCTTGTACTGGTAATGGCGTGTTTGCAGCAGAGGTACCTTAGTTCTGTGAGTGTGACGAAAACTGAAGGAGGGAAATTCAATCAGTGAGTGATAAGTATAATTAAAACGGTGAAATAACAAATAAGCTAGTAAAAACATGCTGCTAACCCCCCCCCCCCCCACGTTTAGGAGAAAATACCGATATCTATTTTATACCGGAAATCTGCCTAACAATACCGGGATATGACTTTTTGGTCATATCGCCCAGCCCTAGGTAGCACATTGGGAACATATCTGGAGCACCATGCAGCCGCAGCCCTAGGTGGACAAACAACAGCAGCCTGACTGCGAGCCCTGAAGGAAGACACCTAGTGTTGTGCATCAGATGAAAACTCACAGTAGGAAGCTAATAACAGCACTACAGGAAGGTTTTTCAGTTACTTCAGGCAACAAATCATTCTGGAGGCAGTAAAAGCAACAACAAAACCAATTTCATTGACGGTCCTTTTAGCCAGAGGCTGCTTGGTAGATGAAACATGTTCTCACCTTCCCTGGAGGACCGCTGTCTCCCTGCTCCCCCTTTAAGCCGGACTGGCCAGGAGGTCCAGCAATGCCCTGAGGAACAAATTGCACAATGATGACACAGAGGAGGACCTGATAAAAACTGCACTGCGCACACTACATGAACACAAACATTGGAACATAAAGAGACACACACACACACACACACACACACACACACACCTGCTTTCCTGGTAATCCAGGTATTCCTTCTTTACCAGGCACCCCATCTCTTCCTGGGACTCCTGGTTTACCTGCTTCACCCTGAGGAGCAGCACATACATCACTATATGTATTAATTACAAGCACATGCAGTCACATTTAGATTTGGGTGTACTACGAAGGTTGTAAATGAGGTGTCTTTTATCCCAGTTAATATGGATCAGTTAATATAAATGGGTTGTGAAGAAATGTTTTTTCCCCCTGGGTTTAGATCTAAAGTGTTTGTATTTTGTGTCAGATTCTTCAAAACAGGAGCAGGGATGTTCCAGTTTATTTGCGTATTAAATCTACTCTAATGAGGTCTTCACTTATTAGTATTACTGTAATATAATTATTTCATATAACAGTGAGATATTACTACACAAACAGCCAACTATTTCCAACAAAAATGCAATTGCCTTTGGTGGTAGAAATGTTTGTTAAAACAGTCACTACTGAAGGCATTGCTTATTTTTCAGCTGAAGGTACAACAAATCATGTTCTGTATCAAATTATGAACACAGAACGCAGCTGAAGCCACCATTTATCAACAAAAGCTTGGTGCATGTGTTTTGCCATTTTTATTTAGTTACCTTCCCAGTTCTTCAGTTATAACTGAAATGCCTCGGGCTTAAAAAATGTTTCAGTTTTTACACCTCCTCACTGTTCTCCACTCTGCAGCCACAATACTCACCACCTGCCCTGAGAGTCCTGGGGGGCCCTGCGGACCCTGCAGGTTAGAAATAAATACAATGGTATGAGGGAACACAATGTGATAGACACACAGGGGGATTTTTGGTAAATTTCAGGAGAAAACATGAACGCAGTTTTTCCCTGAGGAGTAGATGTGATTTATGGGACCACTTACTACAGCTCCTGGTGGACCTGGTGGTCCTGGCAGACCTGTGCTCCCTTGGGCACCAGGAGGACCCTGCAGAGAGGACAAATAAGCTCAGAAAATACACAAAATGACTTCACAGTCTGGATTGTTATGTAACTAGGTACAAGGGCAATTGCATCTTTTGTTTAAAAAAAATGTAAAATACCACTGAGGCTGTTTTACCTGGACACCAACACCTGGCTCTCCTTGATTACCCTGAGAAAAACAAACTTTTTATGACTTTGTCCAGCCAGTAACAAACAAAATAATTTCAGTACATGCTGTAACAGGTAGCATACTAAGATGTGGTCAACTCACCTTCACACCTGGTGGACCTGGAAGCCCATTGGGACCCATGGGGCCCTAATTGAAACACAAATCACCAACATATAAACTGTTGTTGTTAATGGCAACAATGTAATGGAGTGTGAACGTGTATGCATGCTACGTCGTTTGTGATACTTACAGTTGGCCCCCGTATGCCAGGCTCTCCTGGGTTTCCCTAGAAGCAAAAGAGATCGTTATATACAGCCACATCATAAAATATTTACTAAAAGTGCACAAAGGCCACATTTTAAAGGAATATTCTGATATTATTAGCTGGCTTGAAGAGAGCTAGATTAATGTTTGTCATTAATGACTTCCTGGAGTCTCTGTCTGGTTGTGTGGCAACCTAATGGTGATGACAAAACTCCAGGAAGTCCCCACGCAAAGCAAACAAATACATACCGCATAGGAAACATATTTATGCATGAATATGTTTTATAAAATTGAGCATGTAAAAAAGTATATACTTTTCTTAAGTACTCAATGGACAACGTGGAGTTAACATAAATAATACACTGATGTCAATGTCAGTGATTGACAAGAGTGTCTTCCTAGGAGACGCAAATATACAAATGTATAAACATCTGACTGACTCATGACAACAGGTAGGACAATACAAACACAGGAGATCAAAAAATGTCAAAAAAAAGACACACTCACATGGTAAGCTCTGAAAAATCAGTGCTGTGAGAGGGATAAGCGCACAGACAGCAGGCACAGCTGCATGCACGATAAGCAGACTCAAGCCAATCAACAACACAGTACTTTTTGGAGTACACCCAATTTGGATCCTGGCGAGAGCTTTGCACGCTTAAAATTCAACTTCAAAACTTCAACTTTTAACATGGGTACAGGTGGTCTTGATTAATATTTCACGATGAACTGATCAAGGTCTGACTTTTATCCTAGACACATAGCTCCCAGAAGGATGTTTCCAATACAAATGAATTAAGATTAAAGTGGTGAAATTTGCCTGAAGGTGCATGCACCCTCGTGATAGGCTGCTAGTCTCCCGTTGTTAAATGCCTAGACATCTTTCATACTACTTGCTGCCTAAGTTAAAGACCACTAGCATCTCTACAGCTTTGGTCCATTCCCCCTCCTCCCTCTTGTATCCGATTCCACGAGGACAATTTCTCCCAGCCCTCCCTCCTCCACAGCTCAAGCATGCCAGCCAGCAGCAGAGAACCTACCGGTCTGCCTAGAACTCCTGGAAACCCAGGCAGGCCCTGGAGAGGATGAAAGACAGAAGAAGGTGGATGACAGGAGGGTGGGGGGACAGGTGGGAGGAGAACAGTTGGAAGAGGGGAAACAAACAACACAGAAAAGGAAATGGACAGAGATAAGGCACATTTGAGAAAATAGAGGGAGTTTGAAGAGTCAGGTGTTAGCCAGCTGCAAAAGATTCCTGTCTAAGGATCTATGAAGCCTTGGCCCAAGAGGGGGAAAAGAGAGCTCCATCAGCTTAGTGCTTGCAGCCAACCCAGTGGTTTACTCTGAAGAGCAAGCCTAAGAGAAGGTCCCTTTGCTGGGTTGCTGGTTACTCACTGGTTGGCCTTGAGGACCAGCGGGCCCTGTTGGGCCCTGCACCAACATGGAGGGAAGGAAAACAAAAAGTGTGAGGAGTTGCTTAATATCTCTCATCTCCTCACATTTATGCTTGACCCAACCAAGCAATCTTAACATATGGTATAAAACATTACAGAGTATGTTTGGGCTTTGAGTCATCACTGTGATCTGATTTTGAGTGGAATCCTACTGGTTTCATATAAGGTAAGCAAGTGCATTGTGTCTTTCGTATGCATTAATACTCCTTTATTTACATAGCACAATTATACATTTATAAAGACAAATACACAATAAGTAAGAATATTATAAATAATTATTAACTAGATATGATTAACTATATATTGTTACTTTCATAAGAAAAAATCACACTCACCAAGACGGTTGAAAGAAATATTCACTAAACACTAAACCAAGAAAATCATAACCATATCATGCTCTTTGTGAAAAAAAAAAAAAAGCACAATATTGTCAATTTCAACTTCACCATAAATAGGACATTATCTCACTGTCAGTACTTCACACTTACCGGTTTCCCATCCTGACCAGGTTTTCCTGGTCCTCCTGGTGGTCCCTGAAATGACAAACCACAGATTGCTTCTTATAAAATGTGTGGCAATCAGTAAATTCATAACCTGATTTTCTCGCTCTCTTTGCAATTTTTACAATGTTCTAGATTACACCGTGAGCCAGCTCACCTGCGAGCCATCACGTCCTCTTTCTCCAGACTCTCCTCTATCTCCTTTATCACCAGGAGATCCCGCAAAACCCTGTTAGACACATTAAAAGTAGCTAATTTGCATACAGACACATTCGACAGTGTATGACATGACATATGACACGGACATGACTCTTACCCGGTCTCCTTTAGGTCCTGGTACTCCTGCAGAACCAGGCTCTCCTCTCTGTCCTGCAACTCCTGGAGGGCCTCGGGCCCCAGGCGCACCAATCAGTACTGAGTCAGCAGATGCCCCCTACAGCACACACACACACAAATAAATATTTACTGTATGAACTCCATTCTATTTACTATGACTCCATGGTTACGCTACATCATAACGAGCATGAGAAGGAGTTCACCTTTTGACCTGGTGGGCCGGCTGGTCCCGTTGCCCCGCTAGTGCCCTGAAAAAACAGAGGAAATTTTCCGTTCACAAAAACTACCTTCATGTGGATGAAGTAAACATAGTCAATGTAACAAGCACTTACAGTCTCCCCTTTGTCCCCTTTCACTCCTCTCTCCCCCTGAAATACAGATATACATGATATTAGCAGAATAATGTTGAGTCCTTGAAAAATCTTCAGTTGTCTACTCCACTCTCATCTTCACCTTATCTCCAGGTCTTCCAGCCTCCCCCAGTTCCCCAGCTCGCCCAGGAACTCCCGGTATTCCCGGCTTGCCTGGCTCTCCAGCAGGCCCTGGGGGTCCCTCTGGCCCTCGCTCTCCAATGGCTCTTCCAATAGGCCCAGTTGCTCCCACGGGTCCTCGCTCTCCCTGGTCCCCTTTTGCTCCTCTCTCTCCTGGAACACCACGAGCCCCCTGGTGCAATGAGATAAATATAATTTTTTTTCTAATAATGTTGATTAGACTTATGAATAAACATTGAATTGTGGTGCACCATCTGGACTTGCCATGATCTTACTGGTGGTCTTCATCAAGTTTGAAAATTTTTTCTTAAGCCTCCAAGATTCCCTTTGTAATACTCACATCTGCACCAGATGGTCCTCTCGGTCCAGATTCACCCCTGTCTCCCTTTTCACCTTTCTCTGCCTTCTGCACTGTAGGAACCTGCGGCGTGTCCTTCCTGTCCACAACCACCTTCAGATCAGACACCTGTGTGGAGGACAGAAAAGGGAAATGGCTGGCAAGAGCTTCATGACTTTCAGCCGCAGGTACCTGTCTGTGAAATGCTTTGGACCACAGCTAAAAACAAGCCATTTAGATTTCATCTAGGCAGCTGGAAAGTTGCTTGTAATCAGTGTCTTTTGTGTCACTTTCACCTGCGGAGCTAGAAAAATGCAAGAGTCATTTTAAAATGAATTCGCACATAAACTCTGAGATATATAGTTTTACTGTGAGAGACTGAGATCGTTTTTCAGCTGCAAGAATACTAAATGAGGGTAGCAAACTCCACACTGTCAGAGCTACATTTATTCAAAGAAGTGACAATTCAGTCCTCTCTTTATAATGCCCATAAACCAAGAGCTAATCCAGAATTACTGAATTAAGAACACTGTTAATCTGCTTTTACTGGACCGAAGACATGTTTATTGTCAAACTAATAGAGCTGTTTGACGCAAGAAACAACAGCTCAACATGAATTATAAATACATCTGGAAGCTGTTAATAGTATGATGACATTTGTAAGGGCAAATGGACAAATACAACCCTTTGTATGCTCTAAGAAATGTTCCATTAGCAAGACAATTATGCTAAAATATTTCTATTACATATAAATACAGTATAGCTCCTAATTGACAAAAGATAAGAATCATTAACTTGCAATTCATTATTGTGTGGGGTCCACTTACCAGAATACCAAAGCCAGCCAGAGCCCTCTGTACATCCTGACAAGAGAAATAGACAAACATCATTCAACAGAGCTGACGCAAAAATTGACAATAAATGTTTCCACACATCACAGTGAGGTGTTGACGTCTTACCACTGCTGTCCCAGGCTTGCCCGGCGCCCCATCCTCTCCTGGGTCCCCCTGTCAATAAAAATAAATCAAAGTGTCAACACAAAACACATGAAACCTCACGCATGTCACACTTTCATTATAATAGCAATGGGAGTTTAACTTACAGCTTCACCTTTAAGGCCAGGTGGACCTCTCTCCCCCTGAAACAAAGAAAGTTAGAAGGTCAAAAAGTAGACTAAGTGGTTACTAATCTAAAGCAAACTCGGATCGATAAAGACAAGCATGACTTACTCTGGCTCCCACAGCTCCCGGTATCCCAGGCACGCCCTGAAGGACAGAGTAAAGACAATGATAAAAACATCAACAGATAAGACTGTGAGTTAAACATAGACTTACACAGGTTTATTGTCATATCGGCATACATATAGTCATAAATACAGAGGAACGAAATTTTATTTGTGCAGAATAAACTTGGACCTGAGTGCCATTTAGAGTGTGAATGTCAGACACAAGAGAAGAACCTGTTTGGTTTGGTCTGCATGAGGCTGGTGCGTAGACCCGCGCTGCTATCATGACTCACTGTAATATATCAACGTTAATATGCATTTAAAGAAGAGTAATTAACAACAATGTCATTCTCACTCACAGGGGTTCCTGGGGGCCCCTGCGGGCCTGGGGTTGGTGCCGCTTCAACTCCTTTAACATAAACAACCTGAGAGACAGGGACAATGCATAGATTAGGCATATGGAAAACTATCAATACCAATCATACTATTTTTCATGTGTGACTACATCAGTCGCACCTGTCCAGGAGGACCAATGTTGCCAGGTACTCCAGGAGGCCCCGGCGCACCAGAGGGTCCTACTGGCCCAGCAAGGCCCCGTTCTCCTTTCAGCCCATCACGGCCCTGGAAAAACACATGCGATTACACAAGTGAGACACTCCCTACATTGGGTTATTTCCTCCTGCGCTATAGTAGAGGCTGAACTATAAAATCAAAGCAGGTGGCCGCTGCCACCCCTCCACTGATGTTCTAGAGATAATTAATATGAATTTGCACATGAAAACAGCACTCTGACATTTGGCGCCTCTCTGGATTTCTCTCAGAAGTGGCTCCCCCTTAAAGGCTAAGCTTGATCATTAGAGGCTAGTGAATGTATATAGCTGCTTCTGAGAAGCCTATTGATTCAGCAGTGAGTCAGAGTGTGATGGTAATGTCAATGTCAGAGCAAACTACAGTTGATAAATACACACTTAAGAGTTCAAGAAAGGAAAGTACGAAAGCTGATGTGGGATAGAATAAAGTCAAGGAAGGCCGGATCAATAGAGGAAGTAGGGGGTGAGAAGAGGCAGGTTCTGTCAGACCAGATACAGGGTAGAAACAAACCGCCAACAAAACACAGAGATAATGATATAAAGAAAATCTGGCAAAACTGACATCTCTTCCAGCGGCTCCTGCTTCTCCTTTGTCACCCTGCAGATTAAAGACAGCAGTCAGGTTCACAAAGAAATGCAGGCATAATAAGCACAATCTTCATTCTAAATATTAAAATAAAAAGGCACTAGTCCTACCTAGCTAAATCATTCTTTGATTTAATTTGTAGTCAATTTTGTTTGATGTTGTTACACGACTTGTTTCCTGTAGAATTTAAAGTACTGGAAACACTTCAAAATAATATTCACAAATAGCTAGTGTTTTATCAAAGATGACAGTGTAACATAGCATCATTCGGAAATATCAGAAAATAACTATTTATGAGATTTAAGCAAGTAAATGTCAGACAGCAACATTTTGTTGTTATTCAATTTAAGCTTAAGGCATCCTGAAGCTATTTGACCAAACCTCATCCTGTCAGTGCCATATGATTGTATAAACTGATAAATAGCCACAAACCTTCCTCCCATCTTCACCTGGCACACCATCCTCACCCTGTAAGTCAAAGCAAAACGCATTACGGACTCTACAGGAACAAACTGAATAATGGCCAGTCCGCCGAAGGAGCACTCAGATAATTCAGTGCCACTGCTTCAGAGACTCACTTAAGACAGCCATTATGCAGCAGACCCTGAAATAAATGTCTGCACTGCTTTTTCAGCATGTTTCGCTAAACATCATTCACAGGAACGAGTACGTCAAAGCTGTTACCAATTAGAGAATGATAGAGAGACATACTGAGAGAAAAAACAAGCAATACAAGACAAGATTTATATTCCTACTGAACAGAATCAATGTCAAAATATAAAGTCACTAATAACAGATCACTAATAACAAGCGCAAGGCGTCATATTAGTTACCATTTTGCCAGGAGGCCCAGTTTTGCCATCTTCACCTGCTTTACCCTGAAATATAACAAGGATGATGAGACACAACTAAGTTAATGTGGTCGAAAACAGACTGAGATAAAGAAAAAACGACAGACTGATGGCAGGATACGTAAATAAAAAAAAGTATGTATGTGTGTGGGTGTGTGTGCACTTACAGGTGTCCCTGGAGTGCCTGGGGGCCCAACAGGCCCTGGGGGGCCCTGTTCCCCTCTTAGTCCGGGTAAACCCTGGTAAATAAAACCAGCACACATCACACGGAACGGTATAATCTCACTTAAATGTCTGGTGAGCTAACACTGATTTATATTTTGGCCTTCGCTATAATGTGGGAAGGTTAGGACAGTTAAAAGGGGTTTAAAATGTATGATTTAGTGGTGTAAAAGGTAGCAACATTTGACACAAATTAAATGTGGAGAGGATTGCACATGACAGAAATGGCAACTGCAATTCGTTTTGGTAGTACTGCAGCAACATTCGTAGAGCTGTCATCCGTTTTCCCCTTAAAATAGCATTTAGACTCTTTAGCTAAACTGTAAGCCGAGCCATTGTGGACTTTAAAATCATTACTATGGTCAATATTGCATGATAGTCTCTTGTGAAACTGGACTGGCCTGGAGACATCTTTCCCTACAGTCGTCTTATGCAACTGGCCACACCAGTGAAGTCTGAATTTTAACACCTCCACAGTGCCCTCTGCAGTACATCCATAGTCCACATAGGCGACAGCAAGTCAGAGGCAGGCATGTATTTACTGAACATGTATTTAATACAGAATTTGGACAATATGACAAAAATAAGAATGCATCTTTTTAATTTAGCAAATAAATACTACTCCCACTAATAAAGAGAGTATAACACAAAAACATCAGCATTTATTTCCCACTGATTATTGATAACTAATACACTGTAATACATAGAAAAAAGGAAACTCACATCTCTCCCAGGATCCCCCTGTTTCCCGGGATCACCCTGTAACATAAATACAGTGTATCAGCTACACACACACATTCATCACCCAGTAATGCCTTACATACGTTGTGTTTTATATTTTGTTGAAAAGATGGCATAAACTGAAGTACCCTTTGACCAGGTGCTCCAGAAGCACCCGGTTTACCGTCAAGACCGGGACGTCCATCTAACCCAGATGCTCCCCTTTCTCCCTGATCACACAGATGTTTGGGGTTAGAAAGCTACATTTACATTTAGCGTGAAACAGTTTAAGTGGCTCAAATACATTTTTGGCCTTTGCACTTCATTCCAATGGGAGTGTACTGCATGGGAAACAGAATCCAGAGGGATGAAGGGCAATGACACCTGCCTCTCACCAGAAAACGGGAAAAAGGTAACTTAATAAAATGACAAGGGCCAGTTTAGTAGGTGAGATTCAGTCACACGGATTAATTTCAAACCTTCTCTCCAGGCGCTCCTCTTTCTCCTGCGTCACCCTGGAAATATTAGAATTGAAAGTGTTGTAAATGTGTGTGCAAGGAAATGAACACATGGTTCAAATATTTACAGATATTATATGAGAAGTAATATAGGGAAGCAGGGACAGAAAGCAAACTCACTCTTGTGCCTGCGGGCCCTCGTTGTCCCTCAGAACCCTTTTATAGACAGCAGGGAGAGAGCAAGAAGTCACAGATACTGAATCAATAGGGAAAGGGGTCAATGCACATACAGATGTGTATACAGTACACATCAGATTGGATGCTCACCGGAGCATTTACAAATTGCGAGGCAAACTCACTTGTGGGCCTGGGGCTCCGGGAGTCCCTGCTTCGCCTTTCTGACCTTTGCTGCCATGCTCTCCTGGGTCGCCGCTGTCGCCCTGGCAATCATAAGATGTTTCTGCTTCATTTTACCCAGTTAACTTTCATTGTGTTTTACACCCAACTCTACACAGGTACAGTACACACCTTCTCTCCTCTGTCTCCTTTCAGCTGGCCCTGGATGTCCGCCTGTTGAACAGAACAATCGTCTCAGAATTGGGTTGAAGGAAATTCATTCAATGGTAAGAAGATGCTCCAGTTTAAGTTGATCAAAACTGTTTATTAATGATCATTACGGTTCACTTTGTTTTAAACACGCTGCACAGTGTGACATGCTCACCACTTTTCCTGGTTGTCCTGGAGGCCCTTGTGGTCCCTTGAAGAAGAGAGTGAAATATGTGAATCCACTAACAGTAGATCCAAAGTTCTACCAAGCACTTGGTAAAAATATATAATTAAAGCAGACAACAAACCAGTTCTCCTTTCTCTCCTCTCGCTCCCGCAGGTCCCGGGCTGCCCTATGATCAAACACAGATCAATAAAGATGCTGAGCAGCTGACCTTCCTCACTGTTTCTTCTCTCAAGACCTCAGTGGGATAGCAGAAGAGCATATTGAAAAGCTCTCTGTACGATGATACATAAATGTGTGTCTCACATTTCGTCCGTGCTCTCCTGGGTCTCCTGGGTCTCCTTTCTCTCCTGGTCGTCCTGGTTGACCAGCCAGTCCCTGAAGGGGGGTTAGTGAAAATGTTTGTTAACTGAACTTTGCATTGAAATAACTTTCAGAAAGAAAACTCGTCTATAAAATGTCTCAAGGACATTTGTCCTACCCTCAGCCCTCTTTCTCCCGCCTTGCCTGGAAGTCCAGGCTCCCCCTGATGAAAAGCAAGTTTAAAACAAACAAAAAAAGACATTTGCAGTGATATATACAGACTAATCTTTATAAATAAACACACATTTGTTACAATGAGAGTGGATGCTGGTAGATGCTGGAATTTGAAAAATAAAAATGAAATACAATACTCACAGGTGTGCCTTCGTCACCCTTCTCTCCTTTCTCTCCCTGTAAAACACAAGTAGAAATAATTCACTGATTATAACATTTCTACAGCATCAAGTGAATAGAGGGTCGGAACAGAGAACACATACAAATGAAAGTGCATTTATTTTTACCTCTAAAGTGGCATCATTAGAAATAGATGCATGTTGGAAGGAACAGAAGAAAGTTTAACAGGCGACCTGAGAGTGGCATGCAATGACTGATGGACTACTTTTTACAAAAGAATAATGTCGAGTCCTACTTCACTAAGAAGAAACCACCAAAAGAGTAGTTATTTTTCATCAAATTATGTCTTTAAACAATTAGTCAGCTATCAAAATAGCTATAATTTTATTTTATGTCAATTGATTAATCACTTAAACATTACTCCTCATTAATCATTTCAGCTCTAAAGATCACACCGTCACAATATAAATTCTGCTAAAAAGTCTTAACAATAATGTTTAATTATCACCTTCCTTCCTAGTGGATGTAGAGAATGCTAACAACAAGATACTGAAATACTCCACTCTGACCTCTTTCCCAGCAAGACCAGGCTTTCCTGAGATTCCTGGCCGACCATTCTCCCCCCTCTCTCCTGGTTCACCTGGATCTCCCTAAAGAACAGTTACAAGACAGTTTGAACAATAAAAGAAGAAAAGACAAAACAAACAAACAAACATAGCAGGCCTCTCACCTTGGCACCCGGCCTGCCACTGATACCAGGAAGTCCCTAAGGGTAGAGCACATGTTTTATATATTTGCGGTCTGAGCGGTTTTGGGGCATGACTTACACAGACAGGTGGCACAAGGGAACGTTTCATGAATAAACGATGCTGTTGTCGGGAAAAATATCACAGTACCTGTAAACATTATGACTGCACCATTTGTTATCCTAATAAAGAGGCGTTACAATGACTTACTCTGTCTCCCGGCTCTCCTTTAGGTCCAACGCCACCTGACCCTCCTGACCCTGGAGAACCCTTGCAAAATGACAATGATTGGAAATTTCATTTAGATAGATGACACACACACACACACACACACACACACAAACAATTCCATGTTTTCCAGAGCATTGTCATCCACTGGCTGCTCACTTTCTCTCCTCTCTGTCCCGGTTCTCCTTTATCTCCCCTCGGCCCCTCAGGACCAGCCGGGCCTCGCTCCCCCTGTGGGTGAACAGCAAAGGAAAGGAAAGGAAAGTCATCAGGGTGAAGGATGATGGGTCAGTGGACAGTGTTAAAATAAAAAGTTATACGACAAGAGAATGATAGCTTACCATTTCCCCTTTCTTCCCTGGAACACCTAGAGCCTGCATGATTTAAATAAAACAGTAAAGACTCGTCATCCTAGACAAAGACTGTCACTGATATTGACTACATGTCCAAAATGAAAGGACAGATAAATTATTATATGTGGGGATTTGTTTTCTTCTTATCTGATAACTCACACTTCTGCCGGGCTCCCCTCGTGCACCTTCATTTCCCTGGGAACAGACAGGTTCACTTGTTCTTTCATCTTTGCTTGGAAATTCATTACATCAGATTATGAAACGTTCTGTGATGGAGTCACGTTCCTGTTGACCTGCTGCTTCTCAGATGATTACGCTAAATTGAATCAGTCTCACCTTTTCTCCAGGCGGTCCACTGGGCCCTGGTAAACCCTGATGAAAAGTGGAAAGACTCGTTCAGGAGATATGCATTTACTGTATAAAAGTCAGACCATGCAGCAAATTTGAAACAGAAAGGCACACTGGTGTCATTAGCCAAGACTAAGTGGCAGTCTGTCACTCACTCTCAAGCCTGGAGTTCCTGCGAGGCCCGGCTTCCCTGGGTCCCCCTGAAAGACAACATGATTCAGGTAACAGCACAAAATCCCACTAAGAAAGGGACAGGATGAACATTTGAACTATTTAACAAAATCCGAACGACTGCTGTACTCACTTTCTCCCCAGTTTCACCGGACGCCCCTCTCTCCCCCTGCAAGGACACACATGTCCAGATTCACGGATTGTTTTCTGGGTGAAATTTGCCAACACGTGCAGTGCGAATCTGCGACTGTTACTGTTGACACTGGAGTCTTTCCAGGACTTGTTCTAGATGCTAAGACGAAAGGTCTGACTTACTGTCAACCAATGCCTTCACCTTACAGAAAAGGTTTGCCACCTGGTGTGTACACTGTACATTACATAACTTTTAAAATTATTATACTGTAAATGTGCAACAGCTGCTTGGGACAGTTTGTTGCTTGCAATTGTTAGAGCTTCTCAACTTGAATGGGCTCACCTGTAAATAACTATTATGTGTGTAACATCAAGGAATTTTACACATAATGTAAATATATTTTTCTGATGCAAAGAGCAATCAGCCATTACCCAAACTTTCCACTCAGTGTGCATGACTATGAACACTATCAGATGTTAATCTCATCAAAAAAAAAAAAAAAAAAAAGAAAATTGGGATAATAAGACCTTGGAATTGACATAAAGCTTTAAAGCTTTCAGTTCAGGTACAGACTAGTTCTCTGATGCATGGTTTCATTGGATTGTAGAAAAAAGACAGCCTGCTGTGCCTCCACCCTTTTCTAACCGACATTTTTAATTTACACTAATGTGAGCTTAACCTGGCTGGCTCACATCTGGCTCAGCAAGATTGTTAATATCATCCCATTCTTGACTCTTCAATTTTGGTGAAATTGCATGGGCTCTCCCCTGTGGTAACACTTACTAATATACTGTAAGTGAATATGAATCACAGTCATTTAGACTACTAAAAACCCACACTTCGACTTACAGACATGCACATACTTGACTGATTCACACTCAAATCTTGTGACTCACCCTGTCTCCCTGTGATCCAGGCTCACCTGGCTGTCCTCGGTCACCCTGTCAGAATGGAGAGAGTGAGAGAGGTCATTCTTCTATCTACGCTTCACAACAGGAGTGATTTTTCTTCCCTTTATCTTACCTTGCTACCAATTTCACCTGGAGGGCCACGGGGACCCTGAAAGACATGAAATACAAATTAAATATCATCAAGGAGGTTATGTTTTAGTCCTGCTAGTTCATGTTTCCGTCTGTTACTGGGCAGGACATTTTAAAAATGACATAGAAGATTTCAGTGAAAGTGGATGGAAAGTTGTACCATGGGCCAAGAAAGAACTGAATAGTTCTGTCAATCGCACCACCATGTGACAATTTATTAAGCACTTTATACCTTTGTTCACAATGCATTATTCTTTTTTCCTTGGCCTAATATGCGTCTATGACAATGGCTGCACATGCAGATGCAGCGGCCAGTAGCTCCTTCAAACTTTTACTATTTCTTTTTACATATAGCCGAAAAGGCGCGACACTCCGGCAAGATGGGAGGAGGTGGCCCTGTGTTTAACATCGATGATGCTTGGTGGCCACACATAGAAAAGTGGATGGACACTGTTTAAAAACCATTTTATCATCGCTCTCTTGTTACTGCTGCTTTACATTTTCACACAAATTCAAAAAATGCACCACAGAATTATTTCTTGGGTGTATACATGTATGTATATAAATAATTGTATAGGCCTATATTGTTTATTTTATATGCTCATCTATTCTAATATACAATACATTTAATTATTTGTTATGTTCTATGTATGTAGTATGAAGGGACTACAAACTTTCATTTTTTCCCGACATATAGGAAGCAGATTTTATGACATACATTCTGACATTTTATACAATATTTACCAAGAATATTGTGATTCATAGGTCTTTTTATTCCACAGCACTTTCCAGTAACTTGCAAATGGTTACCAAAAACTCAATTTGCAATTTCAGACATATTTTGATCTTGTGTGCACAAAGCAACTTTGTGAGATCCTGCCAAATTTGATGGTATTTTACCCAGGTGGTGCTAGAGCATCATGATGAATTCAAATTAATATATAGGTCACAGGAGATTATATATAATATTAATTATTAGATCAATAATTAGAAGTCCTGCTTGTACAAAGTTCCAGGATTTTGGTAAAAGCAGTGTGACTGTCCTTGAATTTGTGATGGGTGTGACGAGGATTGTGGAGGCATAGCAGAGGTCTGTGCTATCAGTGCTTTCTAGTATTTACTGTTTTCATATTGTGCAAAAACCAGATTCATCATCATGACATCAGCTATCGAAAAATGTGTTCAACCTACCCTGTCCCCAGGCTCTCCTTGCCTGCCTGGAGGCCCGGGTGTCCCATCACCACTGCTGCCCTGAAAAACAACCACAAGCCATTTTTTATGACACCTCACATGCTCAAACACTCATACACTAAATCAATCTGCAGCTACCTTGTCTCCTTTGCTGCCCTGTGGTCCTGTTGGCCCTATAGGACCCTGAGCCCCTGGAGGTCCTGGAGTACCCTGATGATAAAAATGTAATTAGAAAATACAAAATACACCCCCCCCTCCACATGCACACAGGGTTCATCTGCGAACTAAACTTGTCAGCACATTGGCAGTGATTGACAGTGCTTACTGGGGAGCCCTTCTCGCCCTTTACAGCCACCCCGCTGCCGACTCCTGGAGGTCCCTGTCAGCAAACAGAGATAAGAGCAGAGAATCATTGCGCTCGCGTGCTCCTCGGGATATTTCTACAGTGAGAGGACAATCTAGTGATGATGTGACTCACCCTCTCTCCTGGGCTGCCCTTGTCTCCCTGGAGGGGGGGAGGGGGTGGGGGGGGGGAGAGAAAGATGAATGCTGAACATCATTTTTAGGGAAGGTTTCTCTATGAGAATCTACACAAATCTGACGTGCTGTTTCGACAAAAATAACACTTCTCTGCTGCTCCATAATTTTTCTTAACACTTAGGCAAATGACATATATGATAATAAAAATCATTAAGATCTACAAAAACCCTAACTTTTAAAGGTAAAATTGTACTTTCAAAATGAAATTGTGTAACACACATTACCTCTAAAATCCAGATTTCCTTGCAGTAAGTTGAGCCTCCACAGAATTTTATATGTAAATGGCTCAATGCTACCACCATGTGCACAAGTCTGACAATAACAGTTTTATCTTAGACCAGTGGTTTATAACAACCAACAGAAAATTCTATTTATGGGAGACTGAAATAGCCTGAATATCATAGAAAGAGGAGACAGATGCTCACTACAGTTTCAAAGACAACTTCTGTTTTTTTTGTGAGTTTTGATTTGTTATTTGCACTTAATGAAGATGTGAGCAGTCCCAACATCAGAATTTGGAAAATCTGAAAAGTGAATCATTTTACCTCAGTTATGGAGTGATACTTTTAGACTACTATTTACAACAGGTGTATTTTCGAATGAAAAAAATAACATAATGTTACATTCATAAGCTGGTGTCAGGATCCTAAAGTTACTTTCTAGGAGATGCAGCATGGGAGGATGCCAACCTTGATGGAGAGTCCTGGTGTTCCTGGTAAACCTGGACGACCATCCTGACCAGATGTCCCCGGCACTCCAGGGGCACCTTTGGCCCCATCGTTGCCTGGCCGACCCGGAGTACCCTTAGTACACAACACAAACACTGGTTCACCTGTCGAAATGACTTCTAAAACATCTAGACAGTTAAACCAGGCCAGACGGCAGCTGGAAATCACTTTGCAGATGAGAGTCTGGAAAGTTTGTATGAGTAATGCCCACTTTGGGCATTACTTTAGGATTGTGGTGAAAATCACTTGTTCTGGATCTCGATGATGTGATTGTCTTTTAGCTGTTTTCTGCACTGGCTTTCCAGTTTGTTTCTTACCGGTATTCCCGGGATGCCTGGCTCTCCTTTCCGCCCTGGAAGACCCCCTCCAGATATAGCTGAGCCCGGTTCACCCTGAAGCATCAGCAAAGCAGCGTGAAGACACATGCACTTTGCACACATCTTTTAATCTGGCACAAAGAAACTACAAACTCTTTTGAGGTGGGTCAGGAAAAAGGCTAGAAATGATCACTCAGCTCACCCTTTCACCTTTACTGCCCTGTGGTCCTTGTGGACCTGTCCCTCCCGGTTCACCCTAGAACAAGATAAAAACACTTAGGAAGCACTGTAGTTGATATTCAGATGTCCACTTATGTGTGCACGTCAGGAGAACGAGGGTTACTCACTGGGTCTCCTCTGACACCAGGTAGGCCCTGTGAACCCTGCAGACACAAAAACAAAATCATGTTGTTAACTGTATGCTAATACGCCAACGTGAACAAGTTCAGTGGGTCTGTGGGTTCGGGGCACTTTACTCACCGGGACCCCTGCACTTCCGGGGGAACCTGATCGTCCTGGCAAACCTGGACTTCCATCAATGCCAGGAAAACCCTACACAGAAAACAAACTGCTTGCTAATTCAGTCCAAATTAGGTACATAGGTACGGTATAGTTTTGGTATGGTCTGAGATGTACTCACTCTCTCCCCCTTTTCTCCTTTCACCCTTGCTGAGGGGTCAAAAGGGACAGTTTGGCCTGGTGGGCCTGGGCGTCCTTCAGGCCCTCTGGGGCCTTCCCTCCCAGGCAAACCATCCCGACCCTACATCACACACACATATGGACACCATATTAGTATGCACAATCAAAAATATTTTTGAAAAATCGGTACATTGCTGTATAGAAGAACCATCAATGTCAGTTTAATGACTCACAGGCTCTCCCTTGCGTCCATCGGCACCGTCTCTGCCTCGGTCACCCTGTGGAGTCAAACAAAAAATGGCACTTTAACAGCTGAAAATACAAATTACAAGAAGAGTGGTAAAAGATATTGCAACTTTCTGCACTGTACCTTTTCTCCACGATCTCCCTTCTCACCCTAAAAGAAATAGGAAAGATTAAACTTAGAAATCATAAATTAAGGAGCAGAAGGTAAGAGAAGTGTGTTCATCAAAGCTGGAGAAGGAGTAGAGCTGGAGTCTGTCCAATATACTGAGCTGTGATAATAATGACAAAAGGTTTTAATACAGTATGAAAGGGCAGTTGGAGAATAACTCACCTGGGGACACTGAATGGTACACTGGTCCGGACCCGGACCTACCTAACCAAAACAAGGACAGTTACACTAGGCTGAGATGAGTGAGCTTCCTGTCTTATATCCTCCTCTAGTACCACAATTCATATCCATGCTATTTCCATAAAAAACATTTGTCGCAATTTTTGTCGAAATGTAACATTTGTTTGTAAAACAGCTGAACTGGGAGCCACAGTATTGTATTAACACACTAATGGGGAAATGCGTTGTTGTGGTTTTGGTCATTGCTGTGTCGAATGTAAATGGATCACATAAAGCTTGAAAATCAAGATTCTAAACAAAACATATGCTTTTTTGCAGGTTTCTTCTTACCTCTGGTATTCTGGCAATGCCACAGAGCAAGTCTGCCAGATCGGCATGTATGGTGTCCAGCCGTGCTGCGTCGCGGGTATACAGGATGTTCTGGGTGCTGCCATCCGTCACCACCCGACGCAGCTCCTCAGTATCGGCCTGGTTTATTCCCACAGCTAACACTGTCACCCCTAGCAGACACACACACACACACACCCCAAGAGATTTGAATGTGTAGAGTATGAAGAAGGGTTGTCATGTACACAAGTGCTTGTGATTTCAGAAGTAGACTAGTATAAAAGATTTCCATGTTTTACATACTTATGTTCCAGTCCAGACGGGCAGCATCTGTCACCGGGCCAGTGACTTAAGACAATTTTTAGTATTTTTTTAAATGAGTTTACATACATTTCTGTGGCTGAAATCTTGAAACTAAACCGTCCAGATGCAGCTAACTATAGTAATCTAGTAGGTGCACGTAGTTACACACAAACAGGTTAAAGCAAATAAAAGTTTCATTCTAGAGATGACTGCAGTGCAACTGCTTGTTGGTCTGCTCCAGCACACCTGTAGCTCTGAGACTGCTCGCTGCGAGGGTGAGGTTGTCAGTTGATTTCCTGTCAGCGATGATGACAACAGCGCCAGGGACCCTCGGTCTCCGTCCAGCTGAAGGGTTCAGAACGTACTGTCTGGTGAATGTCACCGCCTCACCTGCAGAGGGAGACAGACTATATAACTGCTATAACAACTGCTAACACAAACACACACACACACACACCAAACAGCTACAGAGATGAAGCTCAGTAAGTACATAAAAGGACAACACCAGAAACAACATCTATTAGAGAGGATGGAGAAATAACTGACCAATATTATTCCCTGGACTTTCATCAAAGGGTGTGGACTGGATCTCTTGAAGAAGTGTGTCAGACCTGCCATGGCGATTAAGCAGGAACCATATTTTGGGCCTGTAACCATAGACTACAACTCCCACCTGAAACAGGGGGACACCAATCAAAATATTGGCAGTACACAGTTTTTATTTTTAATACCTGCAGATTCTATAAGCTAACAGCCTTGTGCCTCTCCACACCCTGTTTTGAGGCTTATTCTGCAGTACCTGCGAGTCGCGGTCACTGATAGTGCTGAGCGACCCTGCTGCACTTCTGAGGAGTTCGCGAAGAGGTCTAGCGAGGCCAATCCGATCGGTGGATGCCGGCACCAGAAACACCACATCCAGACGCCCGCCCACGCACACTGTGGACCGATAAGTTTGTAGGGGTAAGTAAGGTATCAAAAGGTGGGTGGTTATGGGTGTGGTGAGTGTATGAAAGGACACATGTTGGTGTGTTACCAGTGCGTTCATCTACAGAGCTCTCTGTTCCCAATCCACTTGCAAATACGGGCTGCAAGGTAAAGCGATATCGACGGCCCAAACGCAGCCCGGGAACCTGGTAAGTGCTGGACGTAGCGGGGAGCGTAACTGACAAGCCTCCACCAAGATCTGAGAAATGTGAACAGTTGACATGTTAGGACTGTATAGCACATAAGAGTCTAAAGGAAATTAAATATAACACATATAGTAATATGTTTCACCTGTCTCCTCGCTCCAGCGTAGAATATATCCCGTGGCACCTAGTAGTGGACTCCAGCCAAGCCGCACAGAATCCTGGGTAACCTCTGCCACTCGCAAAATTGCGGTAGGCAGTGAGGGGGGGGGGGTGAAGGCACTAGCTGTATATACGGATACAGAGAACCAGCAAATACAAATGTACACATTTTGACGTTCAATTTGACATGTCCTCCAATACATTAGTCTAAATATAAGATTGTTTATTGGATGCGATACTAAACTATTGCACACAACAAAGACAGAATTCCCAATTCCCTAAATATTGGCATTATATTACTGCTGCTGCAATGCCTTGTGCAGCATGTTATATTTTACCATATTCATTTGCTATTTTATTTGTGATCTACATTTTATTAAAAATCAGTACTGTTAAACCATCCATTAAAAATTCTGAAGTCCATTGTCTATTTTCTCCAATCCACACAGGGTTATTAAAACTTGTGGGAACCTTGAAATATATATATAACATAGGAAGACAGGACTCACGTGTGGTGACTCTGACAGACACAGGGGTTCCCTCTCTGTTTTGAACTAAAGCCATGACCTGCACCTCATACTGGGCTCCGGGGTCCAACCGTTCTAAATCCACTGCTGACACATCTCCCCCCACCAGCTGACTCCTCTCTTCACCCCCTGCAGCAGCACATCGTCACAACAGTAAGTAGTGTGACACCGACTGGCTGCCATCCAAGACATCCATCACAGACGACAGTAACTTATTTCTCATTAAAGGAGAGGATCACAAATGTGAAATGGACCAGCAATAGATCCATACCATCCGTTCTCCTCCAAGTCACGCGATAAGCCGTTGCCCCCTGCACACCAACCCAACTGACTCGGACAACCTGTCCACGGGTCTCCTGGACTTGCAGTGACGTCACAGTCCCGACCACAGAGTGATCTGACTCTGACGGTTAGGACAGGAAAACAATCAATCAGTTATTCTATTTTGTGTTCCACTGCTCTTAGCCACGTTTCTCTCAAAAAGACACTACGTGTATTTGACAGGTTCAGTGCAGTACCTGTTCTAACACTCAGGGTGGAAGGACTTCCCTCTCGAGAGCCAGTCAGTGTCGAGATTAACACGGTATAGGCTGAATCTGACTGTAGTCCATCAATGGTGAAGGAAGACACGTCCGCGGCCACGTTTCGTGTTGTTTCAATCCCTGCGCCAAACAAAACATGGCTGAGAGATGGAAATGTAGAAATCTGTGTATTTCCCCATGACAGATACCTGAGGATAGAAGAGACTGACAGCCAGATCACAACCCAAATCTGAACACTAAGCTTTATATTAATCAAATAACTGTAAAAAGTATTCATGTCAATCATTGCTTGCCATCATCACGGCGCCAAGTGATCTTATAGCCAGTTGCCCTAGGGGAAGGTGACCATGCAATGCGTATCCTCTTAGACGTGGCGTCAATGATGCGAAGTCCGGACACTGATCCACCTTGGGGATTAGTCCGAGTAGACAGCGTGACCACCTCTCCAACGCGCTGATCGGCCACAGCCGCAACACCAATTACCAATGCCTCATCTGGTTGCAGGCCATCTATAGTGTAGGACGTGGCCTCCACCCCAAGAACGCGGGACTGTTCCGCACCTGCAAGACAGAACATAAATTAATATACGATCACGCACATAAAAAACTGACTATATCTATAAATACAACTTCTGCTCTATCTTCAATTGGATGAATACAATAATAACACATGATTGAAAAGGATAAACTCACAAACACATAACTTACTGTTGCCTTGTCTCCAAGTAACCCTGTACCCCGTAGCCCCAGTTACACCTGTCCAGGCAATTCGAATTCTCCGACTGTTTGCGTTTGACACTCTGAGGTTAGTCACTCTGCCAACACCTTGCTCTGAAACGAAAGGGCATACAGGGCCTCATGTCACAAACTTTAATATATTAACCTTTTTAAGAAAGCAAGCCTGAGTATTTCAATTCTAGGGTGACAACAGGGACAGAGAAAAGGTCGTACACCAAGAATTCCAACTAAGGCCTTCAAAGGCATTCACAAATAACAAAAGACCTGCCGCACCTCACACACACACACACTTACCTGTGAGTTGTGAGGTGCAGCAGGTATTTTGTCAGCCACAACAAAATGACTACACAACTACCCTTCTTGGCCAACATACCCAGAAAGCCTTGCAATCCGAAGAAGTCCTTTGAAAAGACTTTGACTGAACTAGAGTGCCTCTGACTTGAATTTTGAGAAAATTTATTTGAAAACTGAATACCTAACTTAATTTGGAACTCCAATGAAATTAAAATAATACTCACAACTCACAAAACTATTAAATTCAGATTCAATTTGCACTAAATGAAGCATGGAAACAATGAAATGAAACCAGCCAAAGAATATTTAATTAAGTTAATTATATAACAAATTAGATTTTTTTTAGTTATCTGCAATTCAAATGGCTGTTTACAGGAACAAGAAAACAGGATAAAGCACACAGAAGTGTCACTGCTCAACCCACCTGGTTTGATGTAGACAGTAATTGGGTCTCCTTCATTTTCTCCCACCAGTGCTGTGACACTGACCCCATAAGACACTCCCACTGTCAGGTCTCTGAGGTCGAGGATTGTCTGGTTTCCAGGGATAATCCGGATTTCCTCTGTTCCCGCTGACATGACATGAAACACACAGCCACACTGTTTTCACAAGCATGTTTTCATTCATAATTTAAAGAAAATGTAAAAATAATTCATAATCAAATAATGAATGAAATCAGTCAGCGTACTTTCTGTGTTCAGGATAATGATGCGGTACTGTGTGGCCCCAGCTACGCCCGTCCAGCCGAGTCTGGCAGTACTGCCCAGAGACTCCACAACTCTCAAGTTGGAGACCCTCCCCACTGGCTGCTCTTCTGCAACATTAGGACACTTGTGAAATATCGATACAAGCACAAACAAACTTTAAAACATAGATACTGATATGAAAAAATATTCAGAACTACTAGGGATCCAATCCCAGCACATTTTTGATTTATTCATAAATCAATCAAAAATTTATTCCGAGTTACTGACCTCTGGATGTGGTGGAGACAGGTGTGGCCTCCTCACGACCTTCGAACAGGGTGTACAGGGTGATGATATATTCTGTGTTGGGCTGAAGGCCTGTTAGCACATAGCTGCTAGTACCTCTAGGAAAGGACAGGCTCTGGACACGGCCTCCTGGAGACAAATCAATGGTCCAAAATCAGTGGATTTATGTTCACTATACCTACAGTATCAGTATCATATCTCATTTGATTACAAATAATTTCTGATCAGAATAATAACTTGTCCCTGTTAAACAGCCTTCCTTAAAACTACAGAATGTTTTAAAGAGGACAAAAGGGACAAGTGAATGTTTGAGCATGCACGTGAAATGCATATCTGACCTTCCCCCTCCCTCCACTCCAGGCGGTACCCTCGAGAGGACTGAATGATTCTCCAGGTGAGGCGAATAGAGGAGGGGCTGATGATAGCTGCTCTGAGGACCTGCTGCTCCTGACGCTCTGAGGAAAACGCATGTTATGTAACATGTATGTAATATGTCATAAAGCTCTATTCCCGTCAATCCATCAATGAAAAATGTTAAACGGTAAGGTAGACAGGTCAGGTTCACATTTTTTCCATCTCAAAACAATACTGAAATGCCTACATGTATATTAAAATGTTCATTGGCTGCTCATTCCTTCTGCTCATGTTGGCTGTAATGAGATCCCTTCCTAAAGTGATTTAAGTGTAAGTGATGGGCTATGCACTATGTCTTAATCCTGTGCAAAAACACACTGCCACAATAGCAGTTATTTGAAATTTTTGATATATATCTCATTTGGCGCTTAGAAAATGGTACTGCACACACTCTCTACTCAAATTCCTACAAAAGAGACATCGCATCTTCATATTTTCATCCTACATTGGCTGAGTGACGAGTTGTAGCTAAAAATTGTGTATTTTGCTTGCACACCATGACACATCCAACTTAGTATGGTGTAATGACTTATGCTGAAGGCAGACAATTACAAGACTGATGGGAAAATTATTGCTCCAGGGGGCCATTATGTAAAGTGTACTAGAGATTAGAAGATATGTGTTGAGAAGCATTATGAGAATTGGGGTTTAAGCACCTGAGCTTTTCTGTTTGACATAACTGAGTATATCTCCGAGGGCCACAGCAAAACAACAGAGAACAACTAAGTGATCATGAATATGGATGCCACTTTAAAAGCTTTCAAAACCTACAGTTCATTTGTCCAACAGCCAGATGCAGTTCTTTAGCATATTCATGTACAGAACCTGCACATGTTCATGCCAGAATTTTGGTGTTCTTACCTTTAGGGTTCAAGAATCTGTCACAGATGATACAAAATGCTGTTCTGAGGAGGTGCCAATATTCTCACTGACAGCTAAAATGACAGTTTTGGAGTTTTTCATTTGAGACAAAATACCATAGCTCTGCCCTCAGTGTGTAGTGGACTTGGTTAAAAAAATGCTCTCTGTGACAAGGAGCAAAAAAATTATTACTTGGATCAGTACCACAAGACAAACACTTTCTCTCAAATAATGTGGCCACAGGTCTTTTCTTGTATAAGAGATGAACAAAAATCAACTAGAAAGAGTCAGTGGGGAGCACGCAGGCCAAAGATCAAAGATCAAAGATTACAGACCAGTGTCTGAGCAGTAGGCGCCCAGTGATGTCCCGTAAGGGTCTGAGAGTCAGATTTTACACTAACACATTCTTAAGCTTTAAATGTCACGCACTCATTATTTATTGTTACTGTACACTTTAGTTTATTATTGTTGTTATTTATAATATTTTTATTTGTTACCAGGACGTTTTCAATTCTGCTGATATGCGCTCCAGACCAGCACCAACATGAAACTGACGGTGCTCCATGATGTACAATGTCTAGTTAGGAATTTGGAGGGGTTTGCTTTTTTACCCGCTAACTGTATGACCACTATTTGAACTACATTTCCACCACATGGCTTCACCAAATTTAAACAATGCATCATCTTCACACTGGTTTAATTCAGGAGCCGGATCTTTAGGTGTGAACCCACCCTTAGAAAGCTTAATGGTATTGATGAATATATTAATTATATATTTGAAAATAAATATGAGGACTTTATATAATGTGGTCCTCATTAAAACCAAGAGTAAACATTTTTTCCTAATGAGAAGGAACAGACTGACTCAACATCAAACCACAGATGCAACAAACAGTTGCTACTCTACTGGTTTACACAGGAACAAACAAGAGAGAACGTGTGCTAGAAATGTTCCTTAAACAGAAGTAAACAGTAACATGTGTAGGTTAGGAAAGATTGTTAGCCATCTTCTCTCTCTCTGCTTCCTGTCCCTGTACTTGGCAGGACACAACAGAAGAAAACCACCCATTCAAAAACCATTCTTTTCAACCAATATCAAATTTAAGAAACATGAAGTGACACAAAAACAGAATTCAGTGTATTGCGGCAAGTAATTGTTTTGGTCTTTTTTTGTAACTGTGAGTTCTGAGTTTGTACAATAAAAACAGAGAAGATTTCCCAGAGCGCGAGAGATGATTTGGTGTTGCGATGAACTACTGAAACCACACCTACCTATCTTGAACCTGGCCGTTGCTACAGGGCCCTCCGTGCTGCCCTCATACAGCGGGATGATAGTGACGATGTACTCTGTGTCCGGCTGCAGTCTGGACAAAGTGTGAAAGTCACTGTCACCGGAAACCTCCACAGTCTCAACATTTCGACCTTTGTGAACAAAGAAACAAAAATTACATATGAAAAATAAATACTGACTGGCAGATATGCAAGATGTGGTTTGATGTCTGCTTTGTCCTGACCTGTAAACGGTCCCCAGACTAGACGATAGGCCCGCGCGCCACTGACGGCTCTCCACCGCAGACGGACACTGCCCTCTGACTCCGTCTCCACTGACAACTGCTGCACCGCCTCAAGACGCACTGACGCATGCAACAACAGGAACACACAGACACTTTGAAGAATATTTGCTAATTATACTGAAACCCATTCCAAACTACAAGGAGACAGTGTCACTGTATATGTACTGTATTACTGTGCAAATACTGTATCACACACTAACACACTAACACTTGTTTTAATATTGTCCCATTTTGTAACTCGAATGTACAACTGTTTTAAATTGTGTCTACTGATTATGGCTGACCAAATTACAAGCATTTACAATCACCATATAATAAAAGGCATGAATAATGGGCCGCAGGGTGGACTCACATGTGCGGGCGTTGAGGATGGACGGGGATCCAGAGTTTCGGGGGAACAGGGGGTAGAGGCTTATGACGTACTCTGTGTCGGGCTGAAGTGACTCCAAGGTGACAGATGTGGCGTCTGCAGACAGCGACTGCTCCAACAGCTGAGCTGCCGGCCGACCTGCTCTTCCGACCACACAACAGACAGGGCAAATAGAAATGGAGGGCATGCAGATGACCAATTAGAGCCCTACTAGCAATCACAAATTCATCAGATAAATTAGCTGACAACAAGTTGCAAAAATATGCGATATGTCCTCTATTCATTAGGTTTACCGCATTTTCACCTCAGAGCACAAACCCTAAATATGGCAGCCAGCCAACTGCAGATATGTGGTTTGTCTGTGTTGTGTGCAAGTGCATGTCCTGTACGTGCTTCTCATTATCGGTCTTGTTTGTTTCAATGATTTGTGTGAAAAGGTGCACGTTTGCCAGAACCAGCAGACACAGGAACAGGTAGAAACATCACACCGCTCATTACAGGATACACACTGACCTAATTTAAATACTTTCACACACATGCCAGCCTAACTAGTCAGAAGAGGAGCTCCACGTGAGACTGGCACTCCTGCCACATGTTCGGAGGGAGAACCTGTTAAAATCAGCCCCCAGGGGCCACTTTTCTCTCCTGAATCATGGTATAAGCACCCTGACATCTTGACACTGGTATGATCTGTGCCACCCCCTGTCTTTAGATATGCAAGGACAAAATTACTGATGATCCGTGACATAAGAAAAGGTTTTTATTGTCTAATTTTAAAGACTGGTGATGATAAAATGTATTTGATTTTTTAGGTAATGATTGGGCAATAAAAATCCTTACTGACAGCTGGTGCCTGAGGGAGGTAAAGTGTTATGAAAGCTAATGTTCCCCACACTCAGTCTTGACTGCTGTACATTCTCAACATGTTTCCAACTCGCCACCAACAGGTTAACTGTTATTGACTACTGTAGCTTCTTTCCTTCTTCATTTTTCCCTGTAATCCTTCATTCTGCCACGATTAGTTTCTGTGACAAGACATTTCTGCCACAACAGACAACAAAAAAAAAGTGTAAAAAAGTGTACTGCACAAGTTAGACTAGAGGCAGACAGAAAAAGAAAGCCATAGAGATAGGAAATAGAAACAGCGTAAAGTGCGTGTGTGTTTGTGTGTGTGTGTGCATGCGCCTGACCTCGTGGGCCATAGGTGATCCTGTAGCCCTGGACAGGAGATGAAGGCAGATCCCAGCCCACAGAGAGAGAGAAGAAGTCTGCCTGGACCAGACGTAGACTAGAGACACCTGGCAAGGACCCTATATGAGAAGAAAAAAAGACACTGCAGGTGAATAGTTCTGTTCAGCTGTGTGAGAGAAGTTGCGTTAGCGTTTTGGCAGATGTATCTGCTGACATTCGAGTCATTCACTTTTTACTCACTGGTTCGTTGCTTGGCAGAAACAGACTCTCCCACACTGTTGGGGTATTGGGCGATGACAGTCACCAGGTAGTCGGTTCCTGACCTTAGCTCTCGTGCGGTAAAGGTCCTCTGACTGGCAGAAACAGTCTCCTGCAGGGAGAGACAGAGGTCATCTTTGTAAACAGTCGAGCCTAAAGCAAGTTTTTGCAGAGGAAATAGATAATGATAGATGGTTGAGCAATGGCATTCTCGTATCTGCCAGGGTACACAGAAGGGAATTTCACTCTTCGCTCTGCCAAACTTTAATCACAAAGAAGATCCACCCATTAGACGTGTTTAAACTCAGCCTGAGGGCATGTGTTTCTCTCGCAAAGCAGGATTGACTTTGGCTCCTAAAACTGCAATTTACTACTTCTAGGTCGTACCAATGCTCATCTCCATGTGTCACCTGGACTCACCTGACGCAGTTCTGCAATGATAGGCTGACCCAGGCCAGAGAGCGGCACATACTGGACCACATAGCCACTCACAGGCCCCCCTGCTGAACTCCAGCGGAACCTGAGAGAATCAGATGTCTGGCTGGTGAACTGAATGTTGGACGGACCGGAAAATGCCTCTGAGAGGAGAGGAGAGGAGAGGGTGGAAGGAGGATGAAACAAAAATAAAATTAATCGCAGATTTACAGTCTATAAAGCCTATAAATAAAGGCTGAGACAATAGTCAGATACATATTTGTGACCATCTGTGTTTTAGTATACTGATGTTTTGCTATTTAAAGTTAACCCACATACCATCACTAGCATAGACTCCTCCTGCTTTGGAACACACTTGGGGGCTCACAAGAGGAAGAAGTGTGTTCAGCAGTTTGAAGTCCCCAACAAAGGATGTGAAATCGCTGCTGGGCTGGGAGGAGATCTGATCCAATTCAGCCCTGTCTGCACTCTTTATACCTAACAAATACAAAAAATTGGCCGTGTAAAAAAGAAATCAGAGTGGCTGGTAAGCAAGTCTAAAATAAAATAAAAAATCCAAACTACTCTGAGTAAGAGAGGAGAAACGGCAGGTGAGACACCTACCAACCGCAAAAACGTGCACTCCTTGACTGCGTAGCTTCTGCGCTGGGTCCTGCACACTGTCCTGTGATTTCCCGTCTGTGATCAGGATAGTGATCTGACAATTGAAGAGGACCCACAGGTGGAATTAGAAACAACAAGCAGTTCTATGTTAAATATGCAGTTTTATAATTATGAAACATCACAGAAGGGTTGCTCCACAGACCTTTGGGACATTCCGACTGGACGCAGGGTTGAAGAAGTTGTCAGCGACAAACTTGAGACCAGCCCCAGTGCGTGTGTTTCCACCCTTATAGTTCAGATTCTGTAAAGCGTTGACCAGCGCAGTGCCATTCACGTAGGTAGTAAATGTAAATTCAACTCTGAAAGGAGAGAAATGCGCATTTATGCATAATGCTGCACCTGCACTAAGATGCTTTGTCCTAAGAAACTAATGAGGTAAATATTTAATTCTGTCTATTACCTGGAAGTGTCGCTGTACTGTATGGCCCCAAACCGTATCCCTGACTCGCTGACAGAGCTGGCAAAGGGTTTGACGATCCCAGCCATAAAGCCCTTCACCTGCAGGAAGTTAGCTCGGCCAATACTGGAAGACCCATCAACCAGGAAAACAATATCTGCCGCTTGCACACTATTACACCTGCCTGCAAATACAATGTAATGGATAATTCACGTGAGCACATAAATACATGCATTCTGTCCATAAACAGACACATGAGGAGAACCATTGGGGCTGAGGTGGTAGTTGAATTGGAAGGAGAATTGTTTATACCCTGAGCTTCAGCTTGTTTCATGGAGGACAGGAGGACAGTCACAGTGAAAACCCAGCTCCACATCTTCACAACCTGGGCACACAAAAGACAAATACACCGTTTTTTTATTATGTCTGAAACAATTTTGAGTTAAAACAGTCAAATTACAAATAATGATATTGTGCTGCTTTTAACATTTCCACTGTACATGCTTGGATACTTTGAAGGGCCTGGTTTGTGTTATAAATGTGTGTCTCCAGGTCAAATCAGTCTGTGTTGTAACCATCTCCAGTTAGATGAAACACTGCCATCCCTCGGCAACTTACTATTTATACTGAATTTCAAATTGTCTTGCTTGAATAAGAGTTGTAGCCCTTGTTCCTGCCTGTACCTGTTCCGACCCACCTAACATCTTTGATATCCTGCCTGCCAGCCTCATTCCTTTGAACATGGTTTCTTGTGTGAGGTGCCAGGTGAAGTCTCCTTTCTTACACCAGTCAACCTCCACATGTTTACTTAAGGTCCAAGTTATGTTTGTATGTTACAGTTTCAGGGCCACTGAATGTGAGCGTTGTAGCATAATAACCAAACCTGGAGCTTGTATTGTAAGTTAAGGCAGGAATATGATGTCATTAGTGTGTAGCTGATCTATATATGAATGCCATCTAATATACATACACATGAGAGTGCTCTACTGGTGCATTAAATGGTCCACACATCTGTTGCTCCTGCCACTCCTATATGCACAGTGGGCTGAAGGAACCTTTTAGTTCCTTGAAAAGAGATCCGGGGAGTTAAAAGTCCCGGGTACTTTTGGTCAAAACACGGCTAATAGCAGACTCGTGTTTTGAAAACAAACAACTTAATAATTAGGGTCTTAACTTCAATTGATGTCAGATGCAAATATTATCCATCACTGATGTGATATTTACACTACTCCATTAGTATTAATTGTAGTTGCCAGCCCTAAAACATCACATCTAAATAAGAGAGTCAAAATATCTTGTCATTACTGACTAAACTTGTCACATAGGTTGTGCATAAAATCTGAATTGAGGTGACTAAATCTACAGTCATCCTCAATGTTGAACCCCAACTGGTTAGAAAAAAGACTTCAAAACGTTGTTGTTGTATTATGTAATTTACACAGTATTTCTTTATGATCACAAGCGTCCATCCTATTATCACTAACTCTACATTTTAAAAAGGACACACATGCTAATGCAATGCTGCCTACACATTTTCTCTTCCTCTCTCTGTCCTCTTTGCCCTCATTAGAGCAGATAAACAAAAAGGTCTTTTGGTCAGATAGGCCTCTTTTTGTTTCAGGAGAGAAGAGGATCATACCATTCTTCACAGCATGTCCCATTAACACCCTCAAACTTCGCTACTGTAATCAACTCCAACTCACAGATTGTGTGTCTGTCTTTGGTTACTGTGTGTCTGGATTGCAGACACCAGCGGCACCTTATGGACAGTATGTGCCATTTTGGAAAAAAATGCAACAGATGTTTGCTGTTCTTTGAGACACTGAGAATGCAGAACTTTTTTTTTTTTGGTCACAAATAATGGTTAGTAGTAGCCCTATTCGCAAATGTCCAACTTTTTATGTGAAGGTGAAAACTATATTATCATCACTATCTTGTTACTGCTACTTTACATTCGCCCACACGCAAATTAAAAAAATGCACTGCAGATTTATTTCCTGGGTGTATTACATGTATGTATACACCAAGTGGACATTATGACCGCTGACGGGTAAGGTGAATAACACCGATTATCTCATTACCATGGCACCTGTCAGTGGGTGGGATATATTAAGCAGCAAGTAAACATCGTGACCTCAAAGTTGATGTGTTACAAGCAGGAAAAATGGACAAGCGTAAGGTGTTTGAGCAACTTTGCAAAATTCCGATGGCTAGATGACTGGGTTAGAGCATCTCCAAAATGGTCTGCAGTGGTCAGTAACTATCAAAAGTGGTCCAAGGAAGGAAAAGCTGTGAACCGACGACGATGCATGTGGGGCTGGCCAGTGTGGTCTGATCCAACAGACGAGCAACTGTAGGTCAAATTGTAGAAAAAGTTGATGCTGATTCTGATAGAAAAAGAGACATTAAACCACTGTATGAAACCAAATGTATAAGGAAGAGCACCAGGACAAGAGCAGACAGAAGTGATTTTCTGAGTCTGTACAGGAATGCAAAGAACATCAACATCATCTGGAATTTGGTCATTTTTATTGGCTTGGCATTTTGTTGGAGCACTGACCCAAATCAGTGCCTCCGTCAGAATCTGCCCACATGAAAGACATCTGTAGTTGATATTTGGCTTGATAAAATTCACAGCAGACCAGAAACATTACAGGGATCCCACTTTGTTATAGTTCTTTGTGTACCAAAGATTACAGTAGAATTACAGCTATTACAGCCTCAACACTCATTAGCCATTCTGAAGATATAGACATCTGTTGTCCTTTAAAGATGTTTGACATTCTGGGAAACACATTTAGACCTCATCGTGACATCAAGGTATTCAAACAGTTTCTCCCCTGATGGAGTCTATACACTGGTGGTGGTGACTGGATGAAGAGAATGCTAAAGTTATGAACGTAATGAGGAGAGGACTTCTGATGAGTTCAACCTGGGCCTGGATCTGATGAGTAGAAGGCGAATGTGGTGGAGGAGGCCCGCAGCAATTTCACAATTAAATGACAGCTGGCGGCAGCAGAAAGGAGAACAGATTTAAGGTTTGATAGCGACTACATGATCGGCTGATGGAGAGTGTGACAAAATATTGTTGTTTTGACTAAAGGTTGTCAGCTGATTAGAGAAGCAGGAAGAGAGAGAGTATATGAATGAATTAATCATAAAGATAGTCTTGCTAGGCTTCATAAGACTACAGCCAGCAGCCTGTTAGCTTAGCTTAGCATAAAGATGGAAACAGGGAAAATAGCTAGTCTAGTTTACGGTAACATAATCCGCCTACCAGCAGCTCTAAATCTCACTAATTAAAGTGTCATATCTCATTTGTTTAATCCCTAGTTTCAAACTATGGGTTGGGACCCAAATTGGGTCACAGACAGGCATCTGATGCGTCACCAAGTTGTGTTATGGAAAGAGGCTTATGTAGCTATTTTTGATCAATTTTAGAGCCATTTGTGTTGTATTGCATCTAGACAGCACTAATAGTCAAAATTACACCATATTCACCACATACACTAAAATCAGCTTATGTTTGACTAAATTTAACAGTTGCCTACCAAGTAAAACAGTCCGCCTTTGTGGACCATGAAAGTTAACAAACTCAAATTTCACATTATGAATGATAAATTCAAGTATATCAGTATCATCTACAGGTTATTTTTTCACATAATTTAAGTCAAAAAGTGAAACTTTCATATTTTCTAGATTCATTACTTTTAAAGTGAAATATTTCAGGCCTTCATTTGTTTTAATCTTGATTATTACGGCTTACATATAAATCAAAAATCCAATCTCAAATTATTAAGTTATTAGACTAGCGTTTAATTAAAGTTTAATTTATTGCCTCCATAAACCATACTAGAATGATATATTTGCTGCTTACAGGCTGTGGTTTTATTAAATATTGCATTCAGTAGTAACCTGTTTTTTCATGGGTGTCATTGTGGTCTCAAAAATCATTCTTGGGTCTTAACATAAATAAGTTTAAGAACACCTGGTTTAATCAGTTCAAAAACTACAGTATAAACACAACATTAGGTTTTTATTAAACTGCACCTGGCCAAGAAATAGTTTGGCACAACTTGTCATTTTTATACTTTGTTTTTAATATGGATTAAACAAACAAGATGTAAATTTGAGAGCTTTAGAGGTGCTAGTAAATAGATTCCGTAATCTTTGGACAGAACCAAGCATACGGTCTCCAGTTTTTAAGATAAGCTAACTGTCTCTTAGCTGTTTTTACCTACAGACATGAATGGCATCCTTCTTCTCATCTTATCCTCAGTAAGAAAGCAAATGAGCATATATTCCAAAACATTGAACTACTCCTTTAAGTATAACTGACTGAAATTAAACACTGGAATCAGTTGGATTTGTCTTTTAATTTGTTGAGGAACGAAAACTTTCAGACATCATCTGAAGCCAGATGCTCATAATTACCCATAAATGTTGGTTCCCTCTGTAAGATGCAACGCCCACAAACCCGTTCCAGAGTTTTTGCTTTAAACACGCAGCACACATACAGCTTAAAATGTTCCAAATGCAATGCCCCTTTCCCTTTTCAAGATTCAAAGCACTTATTTTAAGACTTCTACACCTATAAAATGAAATTATGCACAATTAGCTCCTAACGAACCACATCCGCTCACTCACCTTTTATGTTATTTTTCTTTTTCCTGCATGGAATATAATGAAACAATGATTATTTCTGGTTTCATTATGTAAGGCAGGTGTTGAGACCGCAGTCTCTATCCACAGCCCATTCTGAGCAGTCACATCTTGGCTAACTTAACAGATCATAACGGAAAGGCATTAATAAATTCAGGGCCATTAAAAACACCAGCTGACATATGAAATGTCAGTAAACATAGAAATCATCACAGAGAACCAATTGCTCCTCCCTTCTTCCTCTTCCTGCCACTCCCACAACTCACCCACAAACCCTGCTCTATTTTCAGGCCCTATCCTTATCTGTGTATACATAAAATCTTGCTGGTATATATTTTCAAATAAGGATTTAAATAACTCTTGAGATAGATCCCATGCCAATTGTGGGAGTAAGAGACTTCCTTTTTTATTACAGCATACGTGCAGATATTCATCAAGTCTTTATTAAGTACACTCCTGGGGTGGCCTCAACACCTGGAATTTTAAGTGTGAAGTAACTGGCTTATGGGTATAGCCACACCCACTATAGGCCACCTGGGAATTAAACTAAACACATGGGTTAAAAGTTCAATGACACTGTTGCAAAGTGATCCTAAGAACCGTCCTCAACAGGAGTCAAAGTAAGGACTTAGCGTGGAAAAAAAAAATCCTGTAAGCATCCCCAGTGACATAGGAAGAAAAGGACTTCTCAGGGACAGGAAGAAAAAGAGATTAGGACTCATCCCAGAGAGTTGGGTGGGAGCAGTACAGAGGCTGGGCTCTGTGTTCTGAAAGCCCAGCTCAGGCAGGATCACAGGGTTGTGGTTTAGTAGAGATGCCATTCTCCCAGGGGGGCGGCAAGCCACAGGCCACTGCAATGTGACAGAATGCAGGATTGTGTAAGAGCCAGGCTCCCTCTGCATAACATCAGTCCAGGGACAGAGTGTGACACAGACAAGGGGATGGAGGGGTCAAAGGAGGGTGGGGTGTCACAGTAAATTATCTAAGTCTCCCGCAAATCTGCTCACACACCAGGATTTTGTGTACTTGGTAGCCACAAGCTGCTGGTAACAAAAACAGACGAGCAATACTCTGAGGCTGTCTGGGAGTCACTGATCCCGTCACCTCTGACCTCTACCCTCAGGTCAAGTACAACATCTCTCACCTTCAACAATAATGGCTTGTGAGTCTTTTTCTTTCTCCAAACTAAACAAAAGTATTAGAATAGCTTTTTTAAAAATCTTCCGTGACCCCTTGTCGGAACAAGTTTCAAAAGAAGCACTAATCTTATCCTGACTAAGTATTTCATAAGCTTTGTATTTCTATTAGCAAACGCCAGATGGACTAAATCAGTCAAATAACAGCATTCATCAATGGGTTATCCTTCTCATTCAAAGACATGAATGAACGGAGACAAAAAGTCAATACTTCCCAGTTTATAGCTAATCCTACATAAACACAGTAAAGTAAAAAAATTTTTTAAAAAAAACAGACATACACTCCAGATACATGTTCTGGCTGCAGAAGTTTTCTACAAATAAATATGCCTATTGTTGATAAAATTGTTTAAAGTATTGATCTTAAAAAATTAATAAGATCTGAAAATAATCTTCTCTTCCTCAACCTCAAGTGAGGGAAACAGAAAATGTCCCCTTGCAAACACATCAAACAGTTACACACTAACCAGCAGCAGTCCTTCATAGCTGACACACTTGGGATCAGTCCAGTGCAAACCACTACCAGAGTGGCACGCCAAAAGCTTCACCAAGTATGGCTGCAATTATGCAGTGAATGAAAGAATGAGAGAGAGAGAGAGAGAGAAGTGGGAGGGTGAAGGTGAGGCAGAGAGGAAGAGTCAAATCAGTCCGCTAAGGGCTTTTGAGACATTATAAAAAAAACTCCATGTCAACAAGAGGATTTTTTGCTGTTGCTTCGGCCAAACCACTGCAAACACGTTTGCCCTGGGAGGTGGAACAGACAATTCAACCAAATCACACGAAGACAGAAGAGGAAGCAGAGGAGTGAGATTTCTCTATGGAGCATCTTGGAGTTTAGCAATGCCATCTCAATAAATGAGTTCAGCTGAGGTCAACATGGTTGTAAACTCCCCCATTGTCCTGTGCAACTGTAATGAACAGGCAGATTGTTTGCAAAGGCAAAGGAGTATTTACTGGTTTTGTCGGGGTTATATATTCTTTCATTTAAAAAATGCATTAAAATGTTTTTTTAAGTTTAGTTTAGCTATTGCGAAGGTGATGATTTTATTATAACAAAATTTTAGAAAGGGTGAAAATGAGGTCATGAATGTTCTGCTCAGTCTTGTTCAAATGGTTTTTGCTGCAGGGAAAGCAATAAGTTAAGGAGTGGGGGAGTAATTACTGGCTACATCCAGATGCTGTACAGTTTAAGAGTTGTCGCTAACCAGCTTTCACATGCAGAGTAAATCTTTACAAAAATGTTCTTCCATACATGTGTATCGCAGACATTAGGCTAAGCTTTGTCCCGATCCTGTAGCTTTAACTCCAGTTCGGGGTAGCACCGGTGTTCCCATAAATCTGAACTTCCTTAGACCAATGCACATTAGACAGTAGGGGTCCCACAGAGCCCAGCGCAGAACCTCATCTCTCTCCGCGTCGGCCTCATCTTACCTGGGGAACTCTGTTCCGCGCACCGGGCCACAGCCTGCTGCTCCCCACCTTTCCACCTGTGGCATATCCAGCCCTAGCGCTCCGTGCAGTGTCTGGACACAGCAGTATTCCCAGTCACCCGTGTCCAGAGTCACAGCTTCAAAAAGCACAAAGCAACTTCCGCGACCATCCACCGTAGCTCAACAACTGAACTCCTGTCGCTGCATCCCCGCAGGAGACTGTGAAGGCTGTAAACGCTGTTTCTGATTCCCGAGGCAGCCTTGCTTAGCGTAGGCAGAACACAAGCAGCAGCAGAACAGTTCAGACTTGTTCGGATGCCTGAAGGGGAGTCCTAAGCTCTTCCTTTCTGCTTTTTTTTTTCTCAACCTCATTCTCTTTGCCTCTTGTCCCTCCCTGCTGTGCTGCTTGCAAGCAAACCATGCAACCATGTGGAGCTGAAACATTAGCCCAATAATTCCGCTACTGTTCCAGATAACACAGGGCACTCAGGGTAACACGATTTCAGGCAGATCAGCCCACGTGGTTTAGTCGCGTGCATACATTTGAAGTAGGAACTTTGAGGTTGACACTTTCATGAAAATGAAAATTTGTACATTTTCATGATTTTTTTTTATATAACAAACTTGTTTTATAGAGCTTCACCTGTTTTGTATGCATACTTGATTTAATGTTTTTTGTTCTAAATTTCAGTGCTACATAGTATTACTCTACAACAATGGGAATGCTTACTTTGTGTTTACATTTGTCCATTTGGTGCTTCACCAATAGTGCTCATGTGTTAGGATAAATCCAGTCCAGTTGTGACCTTACTACCAGGGTTAAAGGCTGAAGTACATTTTATTAATATTTTTATTTTATATTCATGTAATAAAGCTAACTGCCAGACTGTTAATCAGACTGAAAAGTAATTTTGGTTTTACTGACAAAATAGATGTGGGCACTAATTCTGGATATCTGTTGGAAACAAGCCAACAGAAACCAAATAAACAAACATATGCACACACATTGTCAGGCTTCAATCAATATTCTCAGACTATTATTTGTGTCACATGTAGGGGCCAGGTAAACCCTCTCAACTTAATTACCAACACAAAATATAAAGTTAGGGTCACCTTAGCTACATGGTGCCTGCTAGCTAGCACCCTTTGCAGTATCAGTAATGCTACCTTAGCTGGCTAAATCGCAATGTAGGCCATGGCCAACTGATCACCTACACCATGATATTAGTTACCAATGGACTGAATTTCTATTTATTTGGAGAAGTGAAATTTTCTCCCCGATAGCAGTTTGTTTTGTAGCTGCACGCTATTTGTCAAAAGTGTGATTATCAGACAGACAGTGCTGAGGCAGGAATACTCAATGTGGACTCAAATGCAGGAAACCAGAGAAAAGCAGGTATATTTTAATAAGGTCCAGCAGAAACTTCCAGGCTTACACTTAGTGTAGCAGTAGTCCCAAACTAAAGAGAGCAAAGTCCAAACAGAAAGATATTATCCAAATAACAGAGAAACAGAGCACAAGGCAGAACACTCAACATTAAATGACACCCCCAGGACTGAACACAACTGAGGGCAATATATACAGAGGCACACCACGCACACACAAGCAGGCAGGGCAATAAAACACAGGTGAGACGCATTGGAAATCAAGCTAGACAGGAAACAAAGATAGACTAAAACACCTAAATTACAAAATAAAACAGGAAGTAAAGCTACAGACAATACACAAGGATATAAATAACTAAATACAACAGAGAACAAGGAAGCAATGATCAACTAACAAAACCTAAACAAGAGCACAGAGATAAAACAGAAATGGACATTTAACAAAATAACAGAAAAGCACCACACTCAAATCCAAGGTCGTGACAGTGATCGTCTATAGGCCTACAGAATGAACCACAGCAGAGCTGTAGAGATGTTTACCCTCTGAAGTGAGATTGTCACAGGTTCTTGATAGAGTTTATTAAAGGGGACAAATCTGAAGTTATTGAGGGTGATGGTAATCTCCTCAGTGGGTCTTTTGTCACAGCAGACAGTCATATTACGAAAAGCACAGCTGTTACTAATAACATTAACAGTGGCTCTGTTCTATTCATTTGTCCCAGTAAGCAATTACAGTTTGACAGTGAGCCAGCATGTACGATACCACGATCCTGAAAAGCATCTAAATGGAATTCAGCCATCATTAATTTGATCATTGACACGGCCCATCCGTGAGAAGATCAAACAAAATAAAGTCATCACAGAGGCAAATAAAGGTCAGATATTGCAAAAAGGACAAGATATTTATCCAATCATAGATGCTTGACTTACTGTACCTCAAGAAGGCAGCAGCACATGTGGTGAGGAGTTGGGTTCTCTCATGGCCCTCTCAAGAACAAGTTGTCTAACCCTTAACCTCTCATCCAGGTCTGTATTGTCAGCTAACTGTGACTAATGTTTTCAGCTTCTGAAGCTGGATGGACTCTGAAGGATGCCAAAGAGCTCTTTAGTCTTGATCTTACGTTGTCCCTGGTTCTATTTACTGACCTTCATCATGGCAACTTGGCTGAGTAACCGCAATGGCAAGGACCCGGATGGCCTGGTTGGCTTATGGTTTAGAGACAACCTTGTATGCGTGTTTCTTGTTTAGGTAGACCATCCTGGCTTCAGGAGGAGGAGGATTTCTTCACCATCAACCACAAGCTCTGGGTTTGTTGCAGCAGCGGGGGTGGGTTTCACCTTCACTGGGTCCCAGTACAGTCTGGAGAGATTCAGGTTCAGGTTTAGATTACTTTATTTGTACGCATAGGTAAATTTGTCTTGCAGTGGACAGGTCATCCTCACATTTAGAAACATAGACACAACAGTAGACAGTACACAGTAGATAAAACATAAAAATAGAGATGCCTAGTTATGGACTTTATATGGATAATGCTGACTGGGAGGAACCTGCTGTGGTCACAGGATACCGTGGTAGTGGCACCTACATGACTGAAATGAAATAAAAAGTTATACGTAGCAGCTGTTGTGGTAAGATAGCAGACAAATTGTTAATCAATATGCACTGAGATATGTGGTGAACATTACATAATCTCTAGTGTTACGCCATTCTTTACAGAGCAGCTTCCTGCTGTTACCTTTTATTAGTGTGCTATTTATTGTTACCATAGCAGTACCTGCACAACCCTGTTCAACTCACGATGGTGGCATTATTTCTTATTTTATGCATTTTATTCAGGTAAACCATGTCACACTGCTACTCGTCAAACTGTGTACAGAGTGATAGACTCTGGTATTTTTCGTCTGCAGTTTGTTTATATATTGTGTATTGTTGTATTATGCCATGACTTTGTTCTCTTTGTAGGTTTTGCTGTGTGTGAGGCCCTGTTGTGTAATGAAGTCATGCTGGTTGTAAGGTGTTGATACCAGACACATTTCGGTGTATTTATTATAGTATATTAAGTGGTTATGATTTTGATACAGGCGGAGCTCCTTCAGGTCCCTCTAGCATTAGAAATGAGTTGCATTTAGTGGTATTTAACTTTCTTGTTCCCGCAAGACTGTTGTAGATGAAGCCATGAGGATAACATGCTCATTCTTACCTTCCATTTGTATTTCTTCCTGTTCACCAAGTGGGTGTAGGCTACAGTTTGTCAGAGGTTTGTCATATGGCAGTAATACAAAGTGTGAGACATTTTGTCAGTGATGCAGGTTTTATCCCCTAATTTTTAGGATAAAAACCTCCTTGGTGTATGGTGTAGTTCTTTGCATCTATTGCTTCTTAGACATTGAATTAAAGTTCAACTCCTCCTGTTTTTAGAAACAGCCAGGCAGGCAGACTGAGGTCTAAAGAAATCTGTGTGAGGAAGATGTGTTTTGCAGCTCTGGATCTTTTGAACCAGCCAACAAGACTGAAACGTGGCCATGCTGCACTAATAAAAACACACTAGAATGCATGTTCTCCTGACACTGCTTTGTTGGTTAGAGACAATGGAGACAAGATGACTTGTGGTTTAAACTGCTTCAATTTGCACTTTTCACACGATTTCCCACCTTCAAAATCTTCTCCATCACGTAGTGTCATTGTGACATCCCTCTGTTGTAATCAAAACCAGGCTACAGCAGTAAACAGCCTAAAGGTTAGGAAGTCGAGTTTGTGCCAGAGGGTATTTGGCTTGAATTCCCACATCTACTTGAATCCTTTAAGCAAGACAGTTGTTCAGTAGTCAGTAGCTGTGGACCGTGGTCATAGTGATCCTCTCCCAGATATAATTTTACTACTACAAAGATTTGACTATGTGCTGAAAACCGGCTCAGTCTGGACAGGCAGACAGTAGGTAACCAAGATATATATAAAAAAGATGAGTGAAGTAACCATGAACTGTAGCTTGTTGTGAAAATGAAGTCCTGCTAGCAAGCTGCCGTCAATCAACAGGTGTGACCATGTTTTTTTTTATGAGGGAAAGGGTTGGAGTTGGATACTTAAAAACCAGTAAATCATTATTTCACTACATTTGTCAGGCTCTAATGCAGTTATTACAGTCACTCCGTAACATGTCCACTCATATAATAATAATATCTGTATAGTGCCATTTACATTTGATTTAAAAATACCATTCCTTCCTTTTTTAACATACAGTCTTATTTTTTTTTTTATTAGACTCGTGATGATATTTGCCGAATTCCTTTGTGTATATACATCAATCAATTTGTAAATCAGAAAAGATGTGGGAATTTTACTGGCAGTTTTAGATTTGTTTTGTTTTGTTTTCCAGATGACGAAAGGAATGCAAAGGGAGTGAATGATGACATGTGATGTCTGTCTTTTTGTGCTTTCTTTTGTGAATGACACTTATCTCCACATTCTCTCTTTTCTCCACCACTGGTATGTTCAGCTGTTTAACTGGATTTAAAAATGTGTGACAATACGAGCGAGAGGAGAGATTAAAGGAGAGTGTAGTGTTTTTTGCCTATAAGGAGTGATATACCCTTTCAGCATTATACATATACTATTGTGTGAGTGGATTTGGTGTTTTCTCTGTCATTGTGTATACATGTCTGAGTGCAGACTGGTGACAAGAGACAAATCCGCCCATGGTGATGTTGTCGGAGACAAAGCCAAAGCTCAGTATGTGTGTTTGCTTAGCGTTATCCTTTAGAATTATTTGGTTCTGACCCTGGTTGTTTTTCTGCTACAGGGACAGGAAGGAGGGAAAGTTTACTTCACCTCGAGGCAGGAATTCACCGTCTCTCCTCTCGTTCTTTTAGGCAGAGTTGGGGAGGAGAGAGTTGTATAAACAGCTAGGCTCCCTCGTCTTAATCTTTAATCGCCTGCAGCTTTCTCTCCAAATACCACCTGTCCAGGTAACAAATTGCACAATGACCTGCACTCATATTACAGAGGCCAGTGATAAAGGAGAGAGGCAAAGTAACTGTAACTGTCAGAATAATATATTAAAAACTGTTTTTAGGAAAATGGTCTTTCAGTTTTACGGATTTAACAAGAACAGTTGCTATGGTGCGAATCTCCACTAGAGCAGAACTGTATATGAGTCCAGGGTTTGGTGGTGATGGGGTCAGCAACGTCAGAAGATTTATTTCTGCATGGAGCTGAAATGTGTGCAGCAAATATGTAGTTTTTACAACCAAGAGGTTAGAGGATTTCATTTCTTATTTCAAAATTGGAAGGTTTTCGCAATGATGTTGCACAAGGCAAGTTTATGAGATCCCCAGATTCAATAGGCTTCTTATTTATAAGAGTGTGAATGAGTAAATTATAAATCTAAGATTTTGGCCCGACATTGGAGCTGAAAGAGAGATTATGGCTGACCACAGTCAACTGGCTATTATACTTACCACTTATATTTAAGTGATATAGTGTTCAAAGTCACAATAATGCATCACACAAAAGTCCTCTGAGATCCAACATAAATAATTATGTGAAAAGTGGTGTCTAGATATTCAGTGTCTACGGTAAAACAGCGAATTGTTGTTTTTACACTGGTATTGTATGGAATACATGTTAATTAATGAGCTTTAGAGGTGCTGGTAGGTGGATTTTGGTACCTTTGGACAGATCCATGCTAGCTGATTCCCCGTTTCTAGTCTTTATGTTAAGCCAAGCTAACTGACTGCAGGTGGCTTTGTACCTAAGCAGACAGTGGTATCAATCTTCTCAACCAACTATTGGCAAGAAAAGTCAGCATAAATCCCAAAATGTGGAATTTTTCCTTGGTTATTATTAATGATTAGATGCATTAAATCAGTGACATAGACTTTTTGTAGAATGTAGAGTTGATTAAAAATAGAAGAAACCACAGAGTCACAACATATCTTGGAAATAAAACAAGAAACAGCTGCGAGGGAGTGCTCAGAGGCTGTTCTCTGCTCTGTAGCTATGGTCAGCAGATGATATTAGCATGAATACATATCTGCACACACCCAGCACACATAGACATGAAGACACTACACATGCTGCACAGAAACAAAACAAAAAAAAGACAAAGCAAAAGATATATTATATACATATATTAATAATAATATATGTAATAATTAATATTAAATACAAGTGAACTAAATCAAACAGCTTTGATTGAAATCTTGAAACCTGCATTTATCAGACAAAAGAAACATTTACACGTTTATCTAACATTATAGGGGAATGGTTGACTCAGTAAGTAGGAATGG